AATTTGTTACAATTTATTCATTATTTAATTGTTGCTAATAAATATTTATATTAACTATGTTTTTTTAATATTGTTGTAGCGTATGGGATGACTGAACCACGATTCTACTATTATTACAACATCTTGAGGCAATGTGACATAAAAGCAGCTAATTGATTGGATAAGATACCTAGAGAAAAATGGGCACTTGCATGGGATAATGGACGACGTTGGGACCACATGACGACCAACATAGCAGAGTCTATCAACTCTGTTTTGAAAAAAAAAAATCTACCTATTTGCTCCATGGTCAACGCAACGTACACCCACTGCAACAAATTTTTCATTGAAAGAGGGAGGCAGATAGATGCCATGATCAATGCTGGTCATGTATACTTTTTGGTCACAAATTTAGAGGAAGCACAAACACAGACAAACACGCATAGGGTCATAACGTTTGACAGGTCTACCACAAAATTTGTAGTAGAAGAAACACAAAACCCGTGTGAAGTTCGACCAGCAGGGAAGTTTGCAGTTCACCTTGATGAGTTATGGTGTGACTGTGAGAAATTCCAAAAATTTCACATGCCTTGTTCACATGTTCTTGCTGCATGCAAGCATGCACACCATGACTTCAACAACTATATTAATTCAGTGTATACCTTACAACAAGTTTCAAAGGTATACGGAACACAATTTGGGTTATTGCGAAATGAAGAATATTGGCTAACATACACATGACCTACTTTGTGTGCAAATCCAGAAATGAAAAGAACTTCAAAGGCCCGACCAAAATCAAGTCGTATAAGAACTGAGATGGACATTACAGAAAATCAAAGTAGGATTAAAAAATGTTCATATTGTCATACCCTTGGTCATAGCAGAAGAACATGTCCCAATGTTGCATGTGCATCTACTTCGCATCATTAGATTGTGTTAGTTAAGAAATGTCTCAATGTATGAAACTTAGGAGTTTTTCAATTAATTGAAAGTGATGAAGATCTTATTGAATCATTTGATAAAACGAAGATCTTGTGGGTTTGATGAAGTCAAAGGTTATTTAAGGAACTTTTTGCTAACTGTTTTAATCGATTAAAACTTGTTGTTATCAATTAAAATAACTTAGAAAGTTTTGTGAAAAGTTTTGAAGAAACTCATTCTGCAGGAGCTGCATAATCTGGGTTTGATTGTTCTAGTTTCTTTTCTTTGTTTCTTTACATATTATGGGTATCTGGAAGCTTGAGCGAGAATTGACCACAAGCTAAACGTCCAGCTTAGTTAACCACATAATGCAACTTGGGTCACCACATATTTCAATCACTTCTCGCTCAAGCGAAAGTACCCGTCGCTTGAGCGAGAATTAACCCGAGATTACCCATTTGTTACAGGTCTCCTCGCTTAAGCGAAGTTTCTTCGCTTGAGCGAGAGAGAAATAATCGATCATAATTTTGTATATTCGATTATTTTAAAATTATGATCGATTAGTTCAAATCATAATCGATTATAAATTTCTTCGCTCAAGCAATGGATGTCTCGCGTGAGCGAGAATTGACCACGGTCCAACGCAGTTACCCAATCAATTCTTGCTCGAGCGAAGTAACTCATCGCTTGAGCGAGAATTGACCACAGGCTAAACGTCCAACGCAGTTAGCCACATAACGCGACTTAGGTCACCACATATTTTAATCACTTCTCGCTCAAGCGAAAATACTCGTCGCTTGAGCGATAATTGACGGGAGATTACCCTTTGTTACAGATTTCCTCACTCAAGCGAAGTGTTTCTTCGCTTAAGCGAGAATTGACCCGAGATTACCCCTTTGTTACAGATTTCTTCGCTCAAGCGAAGGGTTTCTTCGCTTGAGCGAGAGTTGATTGTGCGAAATAATCGATCATAATATAAAATAATCGATTATTTAAATATGTGAACAGTAAAGAGTGCTAGTTGTGTAAATAATGTTCCGGATGTGCTATTTTGGGAAATATTTTTAAAAATAGTATTATTTATGAAAAAAAGTCTCAAAGTCGGCACATGAATTATTTTATATACAATACTTAATTACACTTAAAAGTATATTGTAATGGTTAATTTTAATTTCTGAAAAATTTAATTTTATTAATTAAATTTCATAAAATGTTATTTTAGTCCTCCACTTTAATTTTTTTCATCAGTTATAATTATGCATTTCATTTGTTTCATCAATTAAACTACTCTATATATACCGCACTATTTTTTTCTTCTAAATTATAAAATTATAATATATACTAAGTTAGCATTTATAAAGTATGAAAACTAAAACAATACTACATTGCCTAAAAGATTTAATTAACAAATTATCTTTTCAGAGATTAGAATCATACAAGTATCATAAATATACGTGAAGTAAACAATAAAAAAAGTCAAAATATATAAAAATTAGCAAAAAATTGCGTTAAATCTCAATTATTAGCAAATATACAAAATTAAACTAGAATATCAGTTGTTAGGCACAATAAATATCTAGTAAAGTAAAAAAAAAAACCATTAAAAAAATCTAAAAATTAATTTGTCCATAGAATTTACTTAAATGTTTGTTAATTTAATTTATTTTAAATTTTATTCAGAATATTTAAAAACATGTATGATTAATAAGAATACAATTTTAAAGAAGGATGAAAATTAAAAAAAAACTGTTAATTTTTAAAATCTTCATAGTTAGAATTAAAGATTTAATTAAAAAGTTAATAAAATAATAAATTTATTAGTAATAAATTTTTTTGCAAAAGAAAAAATATAATAAAAATTACTATAAATTATAAATATATAAAAGATATATTAAAAAATATAAAATATTATTTCAATATTTATAATGTATGATGTATGATGCATTAAAGTTTTCAAAATATAAAATATTATTTCAATATTTCAATATAAAATATATATATTATTTTCACATCCTATTTTTTCAAAATATATTTTTTGAATCGCTAGAATGTATGATGCATTAAAGTTTCAACTCACGTGGAACTATCACGTGTATCATCTCAGAGGACACGTGCCCTTTATCTCTGATGACACTTGTAGCAAGTGATACATGTAGGAGTTCTATCACATTCATGAAGCACAGTTTTCTAATTTGTCACTGTTTTCTATTGAAATTAATTTTTTAGAATTTTTCAAGAGCCTGCAAAAATTTCTTAATGCATGCAGAGACATATCTATAATTGAATAATTCATAAGGAGAATCTGTTTATTTCAGTTTTAAAACAACAATAGTTACAATGAGCTATAATTATAGAATAAAAAATTAAAATCATCTTAAGATATTTTCATTTCCAATTAGCAATTTTGAAAAAAAAAGAGTACTAAAAATGAAAATTTCTTTCATATTAATAGTATATAAATTAACATACATGATGGTTAGTTTTCTAAATCGATACACTCTAATAGTTGGTTAGTTTAATTAATGTAAATTATAATATAATATGTAGATGAAAGAATCATATTTTTAGCATATGTTATTTACTTTGTGCGTAGGTTTCTTTTCCTTCCTTATCATCATCAATGGCATAACAAAAACTTATCCGCAGATTTGGATTTAGCATATTCCTAATTTCTAATAGCACGAAAATGAACAGAAGGAAGAACAAGAAAATGGGAGTTGCAAATACTGTCATAGTCTATTTGACATCATTCATTAATATTTCTCTATCTTCTTCTACTATTTCTGTTGCCCTCATCAAGGTGTCTGGCAAACATCATTCTTCCCTCAATGATCGAACACGAAAAACAGGGTTGTCCTTTTTGTCATTTTCAACTCTTTTCATTGATGGCATCATTTCTCGTGTACTGATACGTACCAGACTCATGGTTGTCCCTGCTTTGGCTTTACTGTCACATGATCCCACACATGTGTCCCCTAATATATAATAATTGCGAAGTTAAGAGTACCAGGGGAACATGAAAATGATCATAATATGTACGTACTTACATTTTATCTTTTCTTTTTTCATAGAAAGTTCAATGCTGCATAAATAGAGAGAAGGGAAGGATTTACTCACCTCTGCAGCAACGCAATAGACACAAACGTACAAAATAGTTTATGTTATTCTAAAAACAATTCCTTTCTTTCTTTGTCTTCTTTATCTGATGTTCTTGTGCAAGACAAGAAATTGCTTCTGCTTCTATATACTCTCTGGCTGCTTTGCAGGTTTTATTCACTAGCTTTCCAAAGGAAGAAAGTGAGTTGATTCCTGGGCCGACTCATTTTTTCTTTTCAAGGTTCTTTTCCTCAACTCTTTCTCTCCGTGGTCGTGTGTGTGAGTGTGTTTGTTGGAGTTTCTTGGTGATGAATGACAGAGGGAATGATACACACAAAATAAAAATATGTCTCTTAGTTATTCTAATGCAATCATCAGAATTTTCTTGGTCCTTGTTCTTGAATGACGTGACTGCTTTTGATGAATGGTGGCCTTGGCCTCACTGATAAAACTAAAACTTCTATTTCTTCGTTGGTCTGGTTTGCTTGTAATTGCCTTCATATTTTTTGGCAATTTCTTGAAGTATCATTATCAAGGACCACGACAAAATTACGACAATATTTTTATATATTTTTTTTCTTAATCTCCAATTCTAGATTGACTATATTTCTTCTTTCAAGATGGCTACATATTTTTCTTTTAAATGCATGATGCTTAAGTTATATCATATTAATCAATTTCATTTTCAAATGCTGATTATCCATTAGCCGTATTATGAGAGGTTTATTTGGCCTCTGCTGCAATAATTTTCTTTCAATTTTTCAATTACACAGGCTAAAATGTGTGGACGATTTCCATGAAGAATTAGAAAAAAAAAAAGGAAAAAAAAAAACTTCTTCGTACACTAAAAGCTCAAAGCTCATATAGCTTGTCCAAACAGGTTACCAACTTATGCAAGGTTGTTTTGTGTTCAATGGTTCTATTCCCTACTTTTGATACACGATTAACCTTGAGGACATTCCTTTATCAGTAATAATGTGAGTGTATTTTTCTTCAGCACGTTGATGAAAAGGCTAAGTTTGAGTGTATTTGTTTTTTGTTGTTTTACAGAAGCTAATACCATGATACTCAAAGATCTAATGGAAGAAAAGAAGTTGAATTTTAACCAGCCACTTTTATCAGTGAGGCGTTGCTCATCAACAGTGGCCAATGGAACACACCGCAGAAGCAAAACTGATAATTCATTAGACAGACTTAAACCTCTTCCTGCTTACAAATCAGAGTTAAAGTCAGTTCCTGTGAGAAATGCTGGAACTGTTCCTTTTGAATGGGAGAAAGCCCCAGGAAAACCCAAAGATGAAAGCAAGTTACAGACACAAGCTGTTGAGCAGCCTCCCTTCATCACTCCAAACTTTCCACTTGGTAGAGTATCAGAAATCCAGCAACAATCAGTTACTGAGATGAGAACTGGAAGCACCGTTGCCGACTCTGAAAGGGTTGCATCTTTGGATAAAAGAGTTAGAAAATATTCAAAAGAGGAAATTAAGGACAAGGAAAGTTCTTATTCAGATGATGGAGATGAATCCTATAAAGATGCTCTTGACATACTTTCCAGGAGTGAGTCATTCTTCACGAGCTGTAGTATGAGTGGTTGGGATGAACTAGAGGCTCCATATGGGAGTTTCTCAAGTGATCAACAACTAGCTCGTGATTTCATGATTGATAGGACATCTGAAGCACCACTTTATGTTTCCAGGAAGGCACCAGTTGGACAAGAACAACAAAAACAGGAAAAGAAAGAAGTGAATGCAGAAACTTCACACCCCCTTAATCAGCATAGGCCAAAAGCTTTGCCACATAACACTCAAGATATTGATAGGGATGAAAATGAAGACTGCAATGAATATGAAAAGTGCGCAACTACTACTTGTGGACTATTTCCTCGCTTCTGCCTTTTGAATCCAATGCTTGGATTAAGAATGGATAAGGTTGAAAGAATGCCAGCTCATAGAATGCAAGCTAAATCGGGTGCTTCTCACATTGGATCGACGAAAGAGGTATTAATTTTCTCTATCTACTATTCTTTTTTTGCTATTATTTCACTTTAGGTGTTAATTGTTATTATTTTCTTATTCTGCAGCAAGCTAGAACTCCTTGTGGCTTTACAGAAGAAAAAGATATTTTGGATATTCTTGTAAAATCTAAACATGGCACTGATCCACGTCAAAGAGGTTGCAGCAGAATATTATCCAGTGAGAGCACTCAACACGATTATGAAAGCCATGTTCGTGAGAAAACTCTGTATGTAGATTCTGTACTTGAGGCCACGTCTCAAACCAATACCACAGGGGTTGATTATGAAACTTCCAGAAGAGATAGTGGCATTTACGATAATCCTTCAATAGATTCAAGTCCTAAAATGATTGGATGTAAGAAAATGAATTCAGAAAGTCAAGGGTATAGCCGGGGAAAAAATTCAAATAACCTCAATCAAGATTCAGAGGTTCATTTGAAGAGCCAATTATCAGCCAAATGGGTTGATAAAAAATGCACTTTGAACAGCTCAAAGGTGAGATATGATGAAAAGTTAGGCCACCAAGAAACACCTGGTGCAAGCTGTTTTGGACTTCCTCTTGTCCTACCTTCACTAAAAGCTCCAGCAGAGTCTTGGCTTAAGCGCACTTTACCTACGATTTCCAAAAAGAAGATGACTTCACAGTCTAACCTTTTTGCAAACCTTCATGCAAAATGTCATACTCCCAAGACAATATCATTGTACACTAAATGGGAAAACAATTGTTAAATCTTCCAACCTACATCATGGTCATCTGCAGCTCGCTGAGGTAATTTGATTATTCTTTGTTTTTGCATGTTTTGTGTAACTATTATGTAGGAGAGCAAAGCATGAAAGTTCTTCAATTTTTCAGGAGCTACAAACACCTATATCAGAAGCTTAAACTTTGTGGAGAGAAGAAGGCCTTTGATAATCTCACATCTATACAACAATTTTGGTGATGTACTTTTTGCTTCAGTTTTCTATGTTCCTGTGTTTCTGGTTGGGCTCTTTTGTATCTTGTAAATAATGTAATTATATGTTGTTTCAATAAAAGTTTATCTGTCACAGGAATCCTTTAGTGAATTCTTATATATCTGGTTTGATTTTCAATTTACGTTTAAGCCAGAATGAAAATATAAAATAAGTACAATTTTCCAAGAGAATTACACCATATACAGTGGCGTTTCGATGCATGAATATTTTATTAAAATATGAAAAAATTATTTTTCATATCTTAATTAACTAACATTTATAGAAATATTTTCTTATAAAATATTTTTATATATTATATAAAAATACAAAAAAAAATCTCTTTATTTTTTTAAATATACTTAATATACATTTAATCATTTATCGGTTTACTTGGAGTCAATTTTTTTTTAATATTTTCACATGGCGACTGAGCATGCAAGCTGTTAGTCAATTTTTTAAACGATGATTTACGACAGTTTAAATCTTCTTGTTAATTTTAGTGGATTCAAGTAAACAAATAGATAACATGATATGCATGTTCAAAGTTCTGTTGCATGAATTTTTTTATTTTTATTTTGAACAAATAAATAAAAATAACTCAACATTCAATAGATAATTGTGGTCTCAAAATCAGATGCACAATTAAATAATGTATTTGTTTTGACATGAGGCATTTGAACATACAATATCTACCATATTATTAAGATAAATTTCTCAATAAATTCTTTTAGAAAAGAATAATAATAAAGAATGAAACTATTTTTTTTAAAACTATAATTAGTCTTATAAATAATCAATTTTATAATTTATTATTTAATTTCTCTTTGTTACTGTTTATCAAGGAAAAAATATTATTCAAATCTGAAATAATAAATTATATTTAAGAATTTAAAGATAATAAACACACTACTACTAATAAAATTCTATTTAAATTTTAAAACAAAGCAACTTTTATAATTTAAAATAAAATAAACATGGTATAATAAAATAACTTAAATTTGAAAAAATATAAATCCTGAAAAACTAATCTCATTCTCATTATTAACTATAAAGATAATTAACCAATGATAAAAAGGAAAAAAAGAAAAGAAAAGATAGAAAACATGAGTTGGATGAAAGAATGAACAGAAGTCTCACTCTACAATGACTATGTAAGTATTCATCTTAATTTTTTAAGACATAATAAATAGATTGTAATTATTAGGCAATTCCAAATATTTGGAAGGAATTCCTCCCATTTTATATTAGGATTGTGATTAATTGACAACCTCAAAATTGTAAAACATCCAATCTACATCTTTTATAATTTAAAAGAAAAATGATGATATATGGTTGTCCAAAGGTTGTTTGAAGAATTGGGCATGTCAATATAACTTTTTCCTTTATAACAAAAACAATGTATCATCACCTAATTAATCTCCGTTAAACTATGTTATGAAAGCATAAATATTTGGAAAAATTTTCAAATATTAATGGAAAATAAAAGAAATAAACTTTTTTACAAATATTTTAGAAAAAAAACAGAAATCAAAACTTTTTTAACAAGCTAAAACTAATTTATGTATAAATTAAAAACCTAATTTTGGAGAAGTAAATATGATCAATTATTTTATAAATTAATTTATACATTAGTTAAATTTAACTTATATTTGTTTTTTAAATTAGTTCATAAACCCTATTTTGAGTTTCAATACAATCTCGAACAATTGCAACTAAGTGTTGAGACGCCGTAGAAAAAAAATCATCATGATGACCAAAATGTTAAAAAGTTCACGTAGTATTATTTTTTAAAACCATTCTAAATACAATATTGTTCTTTTTTTTCTGTCAAAAACTTTTTGTGAATTATTTTCAAAAATAATTTTTAATTTGCTTTCTAAACATAATTTTTTTTAATAGGAGTTATAAACATTTTTCAAGTTATTGTAAACTTAGATATACATACTTTAAAAATGCACATATTAATTAGGGACGCTATGGATTAAGCTTTCACTCTTACGTGTAAATCATTTATTGGCCCTATTTTGTTTTTCGATTGCTATTCATTAAAAAAAAAAGATATTTTATTTTTGAACTAATTTTAAATGTTTTCATCATTTGGTTGCAATTTATGTGATGACACCCGTTATAAACTTTAAAGAAAAAAAAAGAAGATATTGTCTGATTCATTATAAATAATTAATTATGTTATGTCCCCTGGAGGTGGATCTTCTAGGGTTTGAAGCTTCTTCCATTGAGTCAATGGTCTACCATTCTATTAAAATCAAATGACAATGATAATATTCTTTCTAATTCTTACGTAAAAAAAAACATAAAAAATCAAATAACTAGAATTACTTACTTTGTTTGTAAACGACATTGATTTTTGTTAAGACAAGTACTTAAAAGATCTCACCCCTATGTTCTATTTGACACAGTTAGATCCTAATAAGTACTCAGCCCAAACGACTCCTTGCTGCATAATTTTGAAAACAAAAACTCTCAACATGGCTATCCTCTTTATGATTTTCACTACATCGTGCTTGCTGTGATGAATTTGAAGACGAGGAAGTGAACAATGAAAGAGAGAGTCTGGTGTTAATTTCTTGTTCACTTGCTGATGCATCTCTCTTCACATGCTGATCTCTAACAATGTTTCTCGAATCTTGACTTGAATTCAGCTCCCAGAAACTTGAACACCCTTTCTTCTCATTCAAACTTTCTAGTTGATCTTTCACTTCACCTTGTCTCCATACTTGAACCTGGTTTAGGAACTCTGGCATTCGATTTTTCACATCATGAACCTGCAATTCCAGAAGGAACCCTTACCTTAGCTATTGTATATACTCATAAATGGAACTCCAAATTTAACCACTTAGTATAATTGTATTTGTTATACATAAAGCTGCTATTATAAATTCATACAAAATAACTAATTCTGAAGTTAAAGATATATAATCTTCAGAAGGGATTTGAAGATAGACAAAAATATTTGAAGACTGTTAATTAGATGTATATTTACTATCAATTGTTAATTTTATTTTTCTATCACTTCATTGGAGACATACATAGTGGAATGGTAGTAATATTTATGAAAAATCTTTACTACCAAATAGTTTGGTCTAAACATACATGTAATTGTACTTTTATTACAAAAATCAATAACTTTTTTGTGCTTGATAAAATTTAATTGAATACAGTATATAGCAAAATTTATATTCTAAGTATATTTAAATTAAACTCATATTCTAATGTGACAATTTCTTTTAAATTATAAAAGTAATTATGGAGAATAAACACTCTAATCCCTTGTTTATTTGAATTGGAAGGTAAAATAAACATACTAAATTTCTACAAATTTTGTTTGAGAGAAAAAAAATCTACATATAAGTGTAATTTATTTTCATGAAATGCATTGGGAAACGCTTTTCTTCCAAATTGAAATAAAAGAAAGAAAAATAACTACTTTATTTTATTTTTTATTTTATGATATAAAAATTAAAAAGAGAAATTTTATTTTAAGAAAATCACAGATGACAAAGTATTTTTTTAATTAGTATGAAAACATCTTTTATGTAACTTATATTTTTATTCTATTTTTTACTTGTCCAAATAAATGGATAGAAATTTCTATTTTTTTAATTCATATAATGGACATATTTTTCTATTCTATTTCTCTATTCTAGTAACTCTATGATTCTTATTTCTTTCTTGTTTTTATACCTCTTTATTTCGCCACTCTTATATCAAACAAATAATTAGTGTACCAATCTTAACCTTATACAAATGTGAAATACTATAATACTAATAATACGGTTTTCTTCGTACAATCCATCAAATTGATGTATTTCAGAAGTAACAATGATGTTTAGTATGTCACCTTTCACAAAAAAAAAAAAATTAAAGAAAAAAAATTATAAACTTAGATAGAAATCAAGTCAAGTCAATAGTTTTCGTAGAAAAACAAATCAATTTATTACGTAATACTTTCACACACACGCAGAGAAAGTATTGACCCGTTTTTTTTTTTTTTGTAGAAGGGTTGTTAAATACGTGTTTGAATACGCCTCTCAGTTAAAGAAACAATTTCAATTCTTTAAAAAAATGATGAAGGTTAAGCTCTTAGTCTCCATTAAGCAAAAACGTGCTATAAAATTTGAAAGCAGCTTTAGATGAAGTCACTTCTGCACTTGTGCTATAATTGAAAGCAGCTTTAGAAGCCAAACCCACCATAAGAAAATCTTTTAATTCTCCTATTCTCATAATTAGGCAAATCAAATAACATATATATCAATTATATAAAAAAAAAGTGAGTAACGTAACAGTTTTATTACCTCAGCATCAAACTTCGCATGGCCAGTGAAGTTAGTACTGCAAGAACTACGTTGGTACTGATAATTACACAAATCTTTATCCCACATTGAACTTGATCTTATCATCATGTGATTATTGAAAAGCTGTGTTGGGTGTAATCTACAGATAGAAACATTAATCATGTATCAAAATTTTATAATATACATATTATAATGGATTTCCCTGTGAATTGCTATCTCTTTCTATACCTTGAGGAGCCATGAGCACTGATTTGATAAGGTGATTGTTCCATGAGCAGAGATGATGGTACATAATTTCTGGTGTCAACCCCAAAGTGTCGTGGGGCATTAAGTCTTCCGTACATATCGAAAATACTATGCCTTCCTTGCATTGACCTATTCTGGGATAAAACTGAAATAAAACATAGGGACATGCATGTGATGTAAACCCTTGGAACCAATGAGCTCGACCAAAACATGGTTTTGGTTACTATATTAAGGTTCTGAAAAATTTACCTTGGCCAGATTCATCAAGCTTTTTACTTCGATACATCTGAATTCCAGAAATATAACTAAGGTGTTACACAAAGGTAAAAATGAAATAAAAAAAATATTTGGCAAAATTTTTCTACCTGTAAATGGCTCTTTACATGTGCAATGCTAAGTCCTCTCACATTCATCAACTGGAGAACCAACTTGGGCGTTGCTCCTGTTCAAAAATTATCAATGAAAACATAAGATTAGAAAATGAGAAAAGCTAGCAGGTTTGGGAATGGATTATTTCAAAAAATCATTCAAAAGTTAAAAAAAAAAAAAAAAAAAAAAAAAAAAAAATTTTTTCCAAAAGGTAAATAAAAGAATTTCCCAATTTCTCCATTTGTTCACGGGTATAAAATAAAATCCATGACTGGAAGTAATTAAAGTTGATAGGCCTGAAAACTGATCATGATATCAGGATTGCTCTTATATAATAGTTGCCAATTTTGATTAGAAAGAGAAATTGCGCATGTTTCGCAGGAGGGTCTGAGTAACCTTCTGTAACACAAGTAGTCAAAGTTTGAGAAAGGTTTTAAGTTCAAACACAATGTCTTCATTATAGATAACAAAAAGGTGTATATGCTTGAAGTGAGTTGCACTTACTTTCTTGTCCACCAAGCCTCTCAACAGCATGCACAAAAGCTAAATGAAGATCAGGAGTCCAACGGAGTCTTGGCATTTTGGATCGAACATATTGCCTAACCGTAGTTGCACGCTCTTTCCCTTCTTCACTAGAGTTATTATTACTACTCAAATTACCCTCTTGAGATGATATGTCATTGTTACTGGTGGGGTCATCACTGGTGCTACCATCTCCATCATCCACAGCTTCTTCATTCAAATCGAAGAACGAACGTTTTCTTCCAAGACTTGCACAAGAGATTTTGCTACTTTCAATCTTGTCTTCCTCAGTTATGCAAATTCTCTCATCCATTTCTATTAAATATATTAATCTTCTATACACTCCTTTTCTTCTGCAGGTAGAGATGGTATGGTGAAGTCAGAAAGACACAAAAAGTACAACCCCGCGTGTAAGATTGCCATTTGTTCAAAGTATTGCTATAACCAAGATTATATGTTGCATATTAAATGTGCTTTAATTTAGTTGTGCTGATTTTAAAGACACTATGCATGATGCTTTAGAAGGACTCTGTCTTCTTACATTTGTACCATAAATTTATTACAAGTTTTGCTTGTTCCTAGGTCTTGGAATTCCACACTAACCACTCTATGACCTACAATTTGAAAATTGTGAAATATATAGAAAAGCGCATCACCTACAATATACCTAGGTGTAAGTGCAGTACGTGATCTATATAGTTTTAGTTTTAATTCTTACTGTGAATATTAGTTTGTTAGTGCTTAAGAACTTTTTTTTTTTTTCAATTTCTTATAAATAGGAGATCATTTTTTCATGTTTTTTTGTGTGTGTTCGGAAGTTAAGGGGATGGGGTAGATTCTAAAAATTAACTACATGATCAATAACAGTTCTGGAAGCAAATTAATCCTTTCTAATTTCAAGTGCTAGAGAAGGATGAGATCTAAAACCAAGAAAAGTCAAGACTTTAAGTCAAACAGAAATGGTTTATTCCTATAAGTAAGTAAAATACATATCATTCTAAAAGATTAAATAACGTGTAGATGAGAAGACTAAACAGTTTGAATTGTTCAAAAGGTGCAAGAGAGATAGAGAAATAGAGATATATATATAGAGAGAGAGAGATGTAGTAAGTAGTTTTGTGCAAACCATTGGTGGCGAAGCTTAAATAACATCCTTAAAGTATTCCTTCCAAGATAACTGAAGAGACCAACAAAACCACCACAGATGATTAAACAGAAGCCAAAGCTAGTTTCCAAGATCCAATAAAGCCAATTTCTTTGGAGACCCCTTAATCAGTTTTGCAACTGATCAATCGAAAACAGAAGAGGTTGATTCTAGCATATCTAGTGTTGCCAGAGAAGTGATTAGTATTTGAGCCCTTTGGTGTTATGGATCCAGTATCTGTAGATGAAAGGAAACCCTATATACGTGCACACAGAGAGAGATTACTTCTGGTAAGGTTCCTTTCTGTAAGAAGCCAAGGGTGCATTATTAGCAAGTGGGACTGGTTGGAATGTATGGAAAATTAAGTCTAAAATACCACTAGTCATCGCACATCAAATCAAATATTCTTACAAATTAGTATATTTAAATATAATAAAGTATTTTACATGTAGAAGACGATGGTCGGACAAAACCATTTGTATTTTCTCTGACTTTTAATATTTTTTAATGTTTTCATATTAAAACATTTGAGTTAGCAAGTACCTAGCCGGAGCTAACAGCATATACTAGATCAAAGGCACACACATATGACTCCTATTTTGGACTATTGAGAATCATGTGATTTCTTTTAACCTTTTTGTTTTTCCAATTTTTCTTTGACAGGTTGTGTCCCGTGCCTCTCTAATTTCCTTCTTGCAATTACCTCTCTGTGATCATCTTTACTATTAATTTCATTAGTTGACCTCTGTTACTGACAACTTTCCATTGGTTTTCAATTCTATAAAAATATTCTTAATTAGGTTGTAGACATGGTAACATATCAATTTTGAAGGCTTATATTGACCATCATTGACATCTCTAAACTCTAGTCTTCAATCACAGCAGGTCCAAAGCATATATATATATATATATATATATATATACCTGGAGGTATAAACACATTATAGCAAAACTTGGCTAATGTATTAGCAGATTCTATATATAGAATGATTTATCAGCAGAAAAATTACCTGTAGTATACTGATTAATTACTACCAAGATTCCAATAAAATTACTGTATAATCATCCTACATATGGGCCTATATGTAACACTGAAGAGACACAACCACCTCAAGTGTCGAACTTGAAAACCAAAGATGTCTTGGTAAGGTAACTCCAGTATTCATCCTATATTTAGACTTTTCAAAGTTTTGTCTTCGTAAGCTATATCCGTTCGTTTCTAGTAAGAAAAATAAAACACTCAGCAAGTTCTATATAATATATATAATAAACTCCAAATCCCAAAGTGTAATAATAGTCAAATATATATGATCTATAACCTCGAAAAGTTAATGTCAGTATGTCTTTACTATTTAAATAAGGAGACATTGGCAATGATAGGAGTAAACAAACGTAGGGGAAAAAGTGTTTGTCCTATATGTTTCTTTTGTCTCGAAAACTAACTTTGAATCCTTGTATGTCCGAGAAAATGTATAAATATATACATCCTTCTACTTCATAAACTTTTTCTGGTGATGTAAATAGTTGTCTATTTCATCCCTGTGAATGATACATGAAAATCAACTAAAATTATTTAAATATCAAATAGATATCAATAATTTATCATTAATCAACTTTAAGGAATTGATTAAATAGATATCAAATCACATCTAATCCCCATATTTGAATCTTACTCATCTTTCATAACCGTTCCTTCAGGATACTATTCCTTGCTTTGAACCTGAATTATCACTTCTCCTTAAAATTCTGTTTACCAAAAAAACTAACTCAACTTTTATATTTCCAAGAGCTGCAGGATCGCTCAAGAGGACCTAGCTTGCAAAACCTAAAAGTTTGCAAACCAATAAACTCTCTCTCTCTCTCTCTCTCTCTCTCTCTCTATATATATATATATATATATATATATATATATATATATAAAGTAAAGTATATACGTGCATATGATTTTGAAAACCTGAAATTCGTTCACAGACATATATATTTAAAAATAGTGGGAAGAGAATAGGGTAAAAGGAGAGGGAAAGTAAAATAGAAGATGATGCATGCATGGTAAATACAATAGTGTTGTTGTGTCATATATGATATTCCCTCGCATTGTCTCATTTATGGATTGTTTTCCTTATTGTCCAAGGATTTACTTTTCTCGAGCATCTTAGAGAGAATTTAAGCCACTTGTCATGAGATCATGGAGACGAAACATTTATTTAAGTCCTTGCAGCGCAGAGTGTAGGTCCCAATGAGGAATCATTTTCAAGGATTAGGTTTTGGCTACAAGACACCCAATTTTGACTATAGATTAGTATGAACACAGTTTTACGTGTGTTGGAGGAGTGAGAGAGGGAGAGAGAAAACTCAATGAAGACAAATATTCGAAGGATTAAACAAAGCGATTGGATTGGAAAGGCCATACGCAGGAGAGAAGAAATGGGTTCTCGTGCGGATTCACAAGGAAAAATGAGAGAATTCTCGTAGCTCTACGTACCCCCTTATACAAAACTTTCTTCTTTGTCTTCTTCTGTGCATGGGAGTTGACATGTTGCATATTTTAGGAACACTTGCAGAGAAGCAAAGAATCTTTCTCAGAATTACAGGTTTTATTTTATCATTAACATCTTTTGCCCGTTGGCAAAGGTCTACCTCCTAATTTAATTATTCATTTTCTCTATATATAATTCATTCAATTTGCTACCTCTATTTCACTCACTTTATTCATATACCTTTTATATTTCTAATTAGTACTCAAGTCATTTTCTTTCCCTTATCTGCTATATATACTATATTTTTTTCATTTTTGTTTCTCATAGCTACTTTAATGTGGATTCTTATCACAATTTTAAATAGGTGAGGTTATCCATACATTAAAACCACACTTTGCTATTTCTTCTAACAATAAGTATATTAGGTATCTCAACAATTTAAACAACTTATTATTTCTCTTATTTTATCAGATCTAAGTTGTTATATTTGCATTTTTTTTTATCTTTTTTCTATAGTTAGTTCTTTTACGTTGTTATATATGTTTGATATGCAAGATCTACTAAACTCGTTGATTGATTCCACCTGAATCTTTCCAACAAAACATACTAGCTTAATATTTCACCAAGTTATATATTTTGAGACACATTTTGTTGAGATTACATGTATTAATTAACAAGTAATATGAATAAAATAGTATATATAGTAGAGCAAATTCAAATTTAGTTTTCAACGTAAGAATATATTGGACACTTATGGATAGCATCAAGATATTGTGTATATATATACACATATATGGGGACCACTCTCATTTTACGACACAATTTCTTTTAGTTGAATTATACTCAAAAATAATAATTTAACGTTTAGCTTTGCAAACTTCATATTCAAAATATCAAATTCTTCACATGAAAGGGAATTAGATTTCCTATCATACAAAAAAGAAAATGCAATGTATATATTATTGTTATTTAAAGGTTTATCATGTCATTTATTATAGGTTTTACTACAAACGTCTAATCTTTAAACTTTATATTTGAGATGTTCAAGATTAACAATAAAGATAAACTTTGATATTATTTAGAAATTTAACTTTTAACCTCACATGACTAGACATAGGTCACTAGTCTAACAATTGACCCATATATGTGAAACAAATTTCAGTTTGGTCTAATTCCATTTTAAATTATAGCTCATAAAATAAGAATGATCTCATGTTTATATATTATTTTTATAAAATTATTAGATTAATATAGGATCACCAGACCTCTTGCACACTAGATTCTTAAAAAATAAAAAATATTTCCTTTCACGTTTTCTAATTTTATTTATTTCTTAATTTATATGGTTCACTAATAAAAGATAAACAATATGCTTACTAATCGTCTATTTTTTTTCATTTCTTATAATAAAATGATTAATTATTTAAATGTATAAAATAACAATTGATTTATAAGAATTACCTTTTACTATATATATATATATATATATATATATATATATATATATATATATATATATATATATATATATATATTCACCCTTCTTTACAATTAGCACCATAGGAGAACTATGACTGGTATAAGAAGAGATTTTGCAGACAACAATCTCAGCTTGGTTTTGAATATTTACATGAAAAATTGAAATCGCTTAAACAAAACAGTCTATAAAAGATGAAGAAGAACATAGAACCTATTTTAGTAGGTGCTGTCTACAAGATCAATGTCTGCATATCTATGTCTACCAAAATAGGCGTAGTGCCTATACGCAAGGAAATTTAATATCTAAACAGTTACTCAGTGCTAGTAGTAGTGTTAACAAGATGTTAGGGTTTTGTTTAAGGAAAAGTGTGATACTATGTATTAGGAAAAGTGACACCAAATTCCTCAACTGAACTGACAAAAAACATAAAGAAGATGCAAGAATCATATAAGTGTTAAATCATGGGTATGTGCATCATATTACTAAGTTACTATAATTATGTTCAACAAATACTATATATAATATAATATAACTACTGTCCTCTTCCACTAGGTAGGCTCTAAAACTTTTGTCTTTTTTGCTAAGTACAGAACTGGCTCTCACTTCTATATTCCTTATACACACAGCATTTCTATGAAACTAATCAGCTCCTAGCTTTTTCCTCAGTAAAATAAGTTTATAAATATATAAATGAGAAAAACTAAAAATTTAATATTTTAAAATTTAAAATAATATATATTCTTGTTCTTTACTCATATTATTTTATATTTATAATTATTTATAAATATAAATATATAATATAAGATAATATGATATCATTTAAAGAAAAATTAGACATTACTTCCTCATTATAATGCAACCTTAACCTAGATATGAAAAAATACCAATGTACTACAATTAGTAATGGTTTTTAAAATTCTTTTGTCATCATTCATTAATAATATATATATATATATATATATATATATAGTCATAATATTTAATAAAAGTGAATAAAGAAAAGATTTGAAATACGTTATAAAAAAACCATTAATTTATTTAAAAATATGTTTTATAAGATACGACCAAATATTGGTAGAAAACATGAGGAGACTAAGGAAAACAAGAACAGAACCCTAGAATATTGTATATAATTAGGAGCATTATTTGCCATGTTGTGGATCAAGTATCTGAATACACAGTCTAAGAATTTTGGCTGTTACCCGTCATAGTAATCTGTGAGATTGGATTTGTGATAAAAAAATAATGCATGCAAAGATTCTATAGGTCGTTCCAAGGTCTAAGTGGTTTCTCTCATATGCTTGCATATATAATGCCTACCTTTGCGGCGACTCTTTCGCCAAAGCAAATACAAAGCTTGATAAGAAAAATGGTGTTAGAAAAAAATGATGATGACAGAGACAGAGAGAGAGAGAGAGAGAGAGAGAGAGAGAATAATGCCATGCTGTGTAGTTGTACTAGAGAGATCATAATTGATCACATGCCCATGTTTTGCGGAGTCTGAGTTAAACTTTGCCACCATTTTGGCTAAAGGTTCAAAAAACTATAGCTGTAGACTTGCTGATATTACTCAGATGGATTCTGGCTGTGTTGCATGCAGTTTTTTCCAACTTTCTTTATTTATTACGAGTCAGAATCTCAAGAAATTCCGTCCCTGGAAAAAAATAATTCAGCTTGGAGGATAATTTATTTTGATTGTGTCAATCGGGGAACAAATTTTCACTCAAATCTCCATCTACCTTTCTCCACAGTTTCACTTTATTACACAACTTCTGGATCTGCATAAATTGCATGTACTTAACTTTCTACTTGTCATATTCTTATTACACTCCAAATTTTCTTAATACTACATCTGTATTTCTAGTGAAATTCTTTTTCCCTTTTAATTATGTTTTTTCATCCACAATATTTTAACCATGCAATCTTGTTTAAGGGATTGCATCTAGAATCACCTTTAATGTCCAAATAAATTACATTGGGACACAATTTTTTTTTATTAAAGATTCAATTTCAAAAATCTAGTTCAAAACTATCATAAATTTTGCATAACAAAAATCAATTTATTTAATGTACATAATAATATGATTTTGGATCTTATTAAAGATTTTAAATTCAGAACAATTCATTAAAAAAAATTAAGATTAAGTTAAGTTTACTAAATAAAAAATATAACTGACAAAAAAAATCTAAAAATTTTTGGACAACAAAACATCAAAGAAATATAATTTCTATAATAACAACTATCTTATTATAAAATAATTATACCTCTTTATTTATTTATTTTACTATAAAAAAGGTGAAATGATTATTAAAAAGAATAAAATAAAGGTGGAGAAATTTATCATTATTTGGGAATTATAAAAATTTTCGTTATCTATACATATAAGAATTAACGTCATATATATGACATCATATACAATTATTGTTGTCTCATTCTTTTTCTTTGTACTGTATCACTTATCTAAAAAATCTAGTCTTGAAAAAAAAAAAGAGACGGTATTTGTTATTTAAATATTTTATAAAATTTTAATTATTATGATAATATATATGAATTATATATATTGGAGGTTAGTAGGATATTTTGTGTTTATTTTTTAACTATTGCACCTAAACGTTTTTTTTTTAATTAAGAAAAAACAACGTGATAAGATTTGTATTTTTTTAGTAGCCTTTTTAATTGTTCTTACATTTCTTTGTTATACTAGGCTTCACACTTTGTGTTTTTTTTTTTTAGTCAATGTTAAGATCAGAATAATATTTTTATAGAGAAGACAAAAAATGGGTAATATAAATAAACGTATTTTTTAAAGCATAAATAAACGTGTTAAAAGCGGGAAGAAAGAGAGCGTTATTGGAAATATTTATTGGGGATCACATTTTTTTTAATAAAATATTATTGGTTCAAGTTTATATTTTCAATAAATTCTAACTCATAACAAAGAGCATTTTAGAAAGAGAGTGTACTCCTATGCTTGATTTGATTTTTTATTTTAAATATCATATGTCATGAATATGAGTAATGACATTTATAAGTGAAATCTAATTTTTAATATTACAATGTATATTATCTTTTATTAATATTGTTTAATATATTATATTAGAGACAATTTTTTATTATTATATATGTTTGGATAAATAATTCATTATGAAAAATTATGTATCAAATTAAATTCAATCCATCCAATAATAATTTTTTTATGGATCATAATCCGTCTCTTAAAACGTTTAAGAAGTAAATTAAGAAAGATTTAGTTATGAAAATATGGATTGAATTAATTTTCATCTGTGTAATTATTAATAAAAGTACCTATTGAATTTTGAGAAATAATGGGTTGTCAACCATAAAATTAAATGAATTAATTTGATCCAATCCATTATTTTATTCCTAAAAATAATATTATCTAGTTATTCAAGTTTAATATGATGCAACCACAAGTAAATCATCCAACCTTGAATAATTTATTTCATTGTTTCAATCAATAACCTAGTTTTGAAAATTTGGTTGGAACTATTATTTATAAATGGAGGTGGAAGTGGAAATACGAGATCTTACTTAACCTTAAACCTTTAATGCATGGCCTTCAACCCAGTTACAAAAATAATGGGCAGAGAATAACAATGAAAAAAATATATAAGAACTAGACCAAATTTTCAACTTTTTTTGAAAAAAAGAAAAAAAAAAAGAAACATATTCTACCTCTAAGAAGATACACAACCATGGGCACAAAATGTAAACTCTGATTTCAAAATACTTACAAAAGCAGGCAAATTTTACAAGACACAAATCAACAACAGAGAAACATTTGGGATCAAAGTAGTTTCCCTCGAACCTTAGCACCCTTGTAAATGGTGTAAGATACAAATGGGTAGGCAAAAACACATGGAAATTGCAAAGAGAAAACAAAAATGATATATGGTATCTTATTCTTAACAATAAGAAAACAAAATTTAACAAGTTCACTCATCATGATTGAGGTTTTTTGGTTTTTCAAATTCCGTAACTAATCTACTGAATGGTGAGGTGGGTAACTTAAGAGAGACTAAATAGTGCATTGTTATGTACAAACCAAATGCCTAACAAAGAATAGAATTATTGTATTGGCTTTTTGACAACTCGTTCCACAATTCCCTTAGTTGTAACCTAATGATAAAAGGCCAAATTCATTTTAAGGTGAAACACAAAACAAGAAAATTTTCAAGTTCTAATGACAGGACCCTTGTAGATCCCTCTACGCATCACAAAGTCGTCAGGAGGTTGAAATTCTTCCAACCAGGTAACATCAGACACTGTAACTCCATTCAACTGAAGATTACCTGCATTTGAAATCAATGTTGACAAACCATTTGCTGTGGTCAGCAAAACACAAAATTTACAGTAAAACCATCGATCATTTTTGAGACACAAGGCTTAAAGGAACCTGCAATGGATATAAATAAGATCACCTGGAAGGTCTTTCCTCTGAGATTTCCGGAAGTACGTGCAGTGTCTCCCATGTTCTGAAGAATAAGGTGGAGACAATACATCAAAGATTGCACAGGGAGTTACTGCCTTAAAGGTATGTATGTTTCCTCCAACGGTAGGATAAAGAACTGTAGTGGGAGTTGGTGCTTTCATGTCGGTATCTTTGACAAGCTTTGCAGCTCTAGCTGCCAAGAACAAATTGGTTGAGGGCAAGGAAACCAAAATTATTAATGAATTAATTCTTACCAATTCCCAAATGAGGTAAAATGTTATGAAAAAGATGGTACTAACAAAATGAATCCTAAATGCAAAAGAGAAACATGATAAATGATAAGAAAGATCCTTTAATTTTCCTCAGCAAAGAAAGTAAAAAAGAAATGAAGACCAAGTGCCTGTTTTACTAAATCAAACAACTAAGGGGTGTTTGTTTTACGTCACCTTCTTTCATTCCCCGGAATGACAAGACATGCATAAACATTCTCTTGTTTGTTAGGAGTTTATGATAATATATTCCTGTGTATCCTTTATTCCTGAGAAAATTCTCTCACATTTTAAGTGATTTCTATTCCCATGACAAAGGGATAGCTATCTTAGTCTCACGAGGATCGGAAATTATTGTTTATAATAACTACCTATTCCTACTGCATTCTATTTTACTTTTATTTAATCATTCTTAAATAAATGTTACTTTTTCTAGAATTACTAAACCTGTCTATAAGAATAACATTCTTAAGTATGATATTCCTAGGGATGTAAAATCATATCATTAAACAACGTCCACTAAGTCCAGAGCTTTGCTCTGCAATATGTCCAGAATTTAGGAACCATGGTCAGGTCAAACTAAAATAATAAAGAATCTAAAAATCGTATGCAATAGGGTTTCCTAATCCTAATCCTAATCAGTAAAATTATTTTTCTTTACTTTATTAATTCTTATCGACTGGCAGAGTTTCAATCTTGGAGCTGCAGGTACAGAATTTTAAAGCTGATTCCAACAATTGTAGAGAAGGTTTCCTAGTGGTTGATAAACATTAAGCAGTGTTTCGATGCCAATAGAAGACCAGAGACAGAGAAGCTATCAAGGGCTTTGAGAAGTGGTGATCTTGATTGATAGTTTTGGTGGAAATGGCACAGCAAGAAGGTAACTTGGCAGACCTTTGAGAATGTACTGCTCAAGCCATTCCAAACCAAGTATGACTTGGACCTATTAGTTTTGCACAAGATGAGAAACAGGGATATCAAATGCAAGAAAATAGAAAAGAGGAAAGTTTAGAGATCCAGAACCAAAACCACACAGTGAAAAGGGTACAGATAACATAGATAGGGCAGAAGAAAAGGCTAATCAGTTGAAAGCAGAGGAGATCAGTAAAATAGAGCACTGAGTATGAATGGTGATAGCCACCTTCTGTGTAAAATAAATGGAGAAACAAGCATAGCTTCATCCCCGTAATGAAAAGATGGGGGTAACAGCAGAAAATGACCAGATTATGTGACTAGAATTATACCTATCCCTTCTCTGATTCCTTTAGCATGTTCATCCTACATCATTGAGTGTTTGCGTGTAATATTGAACTCCTTGTAGCTTATCAGTTGAGGTGATGTATAACCTTGGACCTTGGTCATCCCTTGACCAATGAGACAACAATAAAGTGGAATAACTTAATTAATTACGGAAAGTTCAGTTCTCATTAATTACAATACATACTTTACTTCCTAATAATGTGTACTACATGACATGATAGCAATTGTTTCACCCCAAAATCGCACAACCTCACTTGTCTAAATTTGAAAAGCATATTATTAGGCTTCTTTTAAGATATAAGGTTCCAAACCAACCCCAGTAACACCTTATTACTAAATTTGGGTAAACAAACATAGAAGACAAACTCAATCGCACCTCTGCTAATAAAGAAAACCTAAAGTTGGTGTTCACTACCATATAAAGAAAACCTAAAATCCATGCCTCTTGACTGCTAAATTTGGGTATATTAAAATAGATAAATCACAATTCTCTTGCAAAGTTTAGTTATAAAAGAACTAAAGTCGGTGTCACACTAGCCAATGAAGAAAACCTAAATCTATGCCTGTGGCATGGGTGTTCTGTTATTTCAAGTTCAGTCAATCAGCTTTATTTTTTCATGATGGAAAATGCCCTTTTTCACCACAGAGGAATAGGTTAAGAATCCAACAAGTTACAAAGAATTATCCTCTTTTTTTACAACTCTACCAAATGCTTTCAATATTTGACTTTCAACTGAGGCCAAGTTCTAACATTAACAAGTCAGATATCATCTGTTGCCTTTTAAATACAGGTCCTGGCTTTTTCCCTTTGGTTTGATGTGAGAACGAACTATTTTGGAGGCTGATGACATGATACCCATCTTGTCCTACCGCAGTGATGATGATTGCAGGATGTATTCCCAGGTAGATAAGTTGGACAAAAAATTGGGTTCCAACAAAACAAAATATGTAAAGCCATAAAGAACAAACCTTCAGATGAATCAGTTGGGCCAGGGAAATCAATCCAATCATAGGATTGAACATGCACCGAACCATATAAGAGCTTGCTTAAGACTGTCATTCCAGGATGATTATGGAGAGGAATAACAGATGAAGGGGGCATACAAAAAATTCCTATCTGATGAAGATAAAAATTATTAATCAAACTTTTGTAGCTATGCGCAAGATATGGTGTATAATAATTGCTAATAGTGGAGTTTTGAGAATTAAAACTTACAGAGAAACTGTCATCTTCATACAAATGTAGATATTTGATCGGTGGTGACTGTTGATGGTTCCCATTACATTCGGGCATTTGACCAGACCAATTACGAACCACTTGTGCCTCCTGTTCAAGACCTACATCTGATGGCTTGATTTTTTCTGAAACATTAAATTAAAGGTTATAACAAACATCTTAGTTAGACAGCTAAACTAAAATGTAGCAAGATATGTAGAAAATCAAAAAGGGAACAAAAGGTATAATACAAGTTTGTGCATGATATGACTGCATTTTAAAAGACACAACAGAACCAAACTTCAAAGAGAGTCAATTAAAAAGAGAAACTAGTATTCACAGCTATATAAGCACACTTGTACAGCCCCTAGAGGAGATTATACAACCACAATCTCTAACATTAAGTAGGAGTCACAATCACATGCTTATAGTGCAGTTTAGGTATATAGGATATATGATCTATCTTTTAAAGCACATGATGGATTGAGGGGAATATAATGCATTATGCCAGCCGGGGGATGTAACAAGATGAGCAGTAAAAAGCTCATTTGAAAAGGTAAAAATATTTTACTGTGCATTACCATAATGATAAGCAAGAAAATTAATAAATGATAAATGGTAATCTAGTTAACAGAAAAAACTTCAAAATAAAATTTATCCTTATTAATCTACTTGAATATCTTACTTAGATTGACCTGATTTGCTTGTAATTGTGTGTTTTGTACATACATCAGTGTTCTTATTTAAAATGAAGAGATACAATAATAAGAAACAAAATCAATACCAAATAATGAAAAATATTTGGTATATTCTATATCAAATCATATCATATATCCCTGTTTAATGCAATCAAATCATATCTTAATACTTCCCCAAAAGTTGCAGCATAGAAATCATATGCATCAAGCTCGACCCTCTAAGTGGCTTGGTGAAGATATTTGTCAACTGCTCGAATTCAAAAAAGATGTAAAAGTGATGACGTCTCTAGAAATTATCATTTGTTGAATAAAGTGATAGGGTATTTCAATGCATTTGGTCTGTTCGTGGAAGACTGAATAGGATGTTAGCTGCTTGTCACAAACAAGCTTCGAATATCCAATTTTATAAGATTTGAGTTCACTACAAAGTTGTTTCAATCAAACCAGCTCACACGTGGTAATGGACATGAAGTGCTCCTCATAATCTAGTATAAGTTTGATATTTTGATCCATGGGAATGTCAACTGACTTACAATCTAATATTCCAGTATCTTTCAAGATGTTGAGAGCCTATTTCCTTAGGGAAATGAGCATCATTTTTTATTAGGCTACTTTAATTCCTAGAAAGTATTTTAGTCAACCCAAGTCCTTAGTTTAAAAGTGCTTAGACAAATGACTTATAAGATCCTGGTGTTCACTGCTTGTAATAACAATCTTTTGTTTGTACATAACTGTTAGAATTATTACTTCCTAGTATTATCATTAGACCTAAGTATAGGATGTTGAGTTAGGGAAATCTCCTACATTTGTATCTAGATCTGCACCTAGAGTCCTAGTTGCAGTCTCTTACTTAGTCTTCTATATCTCATTGTATCAGATTTCCATTATAAATAGAAGAAAGGGAGAAGGGTCCCATAATCCCTGAAGATATATCTTTCTCTATTCATCTTAAGTATAACAAAATAAATGCACAGATTAGTGAGGAAAGTCTATAAAATACTAAATGATCAATGGTTATCGAACTCGTGGGTTGACTCGTACACCCATACGAGTCAGTGAGTCACGTTACTATTAACGAGTTAACTCGCGTATAAACTCGTTTTTTTTTTCCGACTCGGAGTAAACTCGCTGACTCAGAATAGACTCGCAAGTTTGAGAGTGAGTCACCGAGTCTGTAGAGAGGGACAAAACGACAAGCGAAAATGTCTTTAGCATTCGGATTTTAAACCCAAACCAAAGCCCCAACCACCAAAACCGAAAACCTAAACAAAATTAGAGATTGAAACCCAAATCAAAAACCCTAATCGAAGAAGAAGAGAAGATCGAACAAGAAAACCCAGATCTGACCTCTATATTTGCATTTTGTCGTCGTGTCGTCGTTCCACCGTTGCGTCGTCGCCCCGCGTCGCAATAGTGGTCAAGTCGCATCTCCGTCGAGTCGCTACTCAGTGACGTCGCAACTCCGGTCGCCTCGCGCCGCAGTTGATTGAGACTGGTTTACAATGTCTAGAGGTGGGACTGCTTCAAATTCTTGTGATTCCAATGTTAATGTATATTCACTATCCAGACCTCCTAGACCTAGAAGTAAAAATGCTTCAGGAAACCGGACCGACATTGGATGGAAACACGGAACAGATGTTTCGGGCAGTGGAAAAAAGGTTAAATGTAATTATTGCTCAAAAATATTCAATGGAGGAATTTTCAGATTCAAACATCATATTGTCGGTACTAGATATGATTCTGAACTTTGTGCCTCAGTTCCAGAAGAAGTGAAAGTTGTAATGATGAAAGTTGTAGCAGAGGCTAAAGATGTTTTAGAAAGGAAAAGGAGACAAAATACAATTAATGAGTATGATGATGAACACATTCAAGAGGTGGATACCACTCAAAGTAGTAGTATGATATTCAAAAATAAAGAAAAGGACAAATTCAGTCAAGGTGTTCAATCTTACTTTAAATCAACTGTATAAGAAAGGGGATAAAGAAAAAGTTGATGCTCAAGTGGCGGAATTTTTTTACACAAGTGTCATTCCATTCAATGTTATTAGAAATCCTGCTTTTGCAAAAATGTGTGAGATGATTGGAAGATATGGAGTTGGCTACAAATCCCCATCTTATCATGATATTAGAGAAAAACTTTTGAAACAAGCAGTCCAAAAAATCGATGTAATCCTTGAAGATTATAAGGAGGAGTGGAAAAGAACAGGTTGCACAATCATGTCTGATGGGTGGACTGACAAAAAAAGAAGTTCTATTTGTAATTTTCTAGTCAATAGTCCTAAAGGGACTGTGTTTCTTTACTCATTTGATACATCAGATATCTAAAAAACTACAGATAAAGTGTCTAAGATGTTGGATGATGTAGTGGAATTTGTTGGAGAGGAGAATGTGGTTCAAGTGGTTACCGATAATGCTGCAAATTTCAAGGCAGCTGGAGAGTTATTAATGCAAAAACGAGAGCATTTGCATTGGACCCCATATGCTGCACATTGCATTGATTTGATCTTTGAAGATTTTGAAAAACATTTGAAGGTCCATCAAACTACTATCAAGAAGGGAAGAAGAATTACTACCTACATTTATGGTAGAGCAATGCTAGTTAGCATGTTAAAGAAGTTTACCAAAGGTAAAGACTTTATAAGGCCAGGTATGACTAGATTTGTCACATCTTATCTAACTCTTGCATGTCTTCATAAATTGAAAACATCATTGATGAGCTTCTTTAGCTCTGATGAGTGGAAGTCAAGCAAATTTGAAACTTCAATAGAAGGGAGAAAAATTGAGCATGTGGTATTAGATAGTTGGTTTTGGAAGAATATAACCACTTGTCTCAAAGTTACTACCCCTTTGATGGTGGTCCTTCGATTAGTGGATTCATATATAAAACCCACAATGGGTTTCATTTATGAAGAAATGGATTCTGCCAAAGAGAAGATCAAATTTAACTTTAATAATATTAAGAAAAGGTAAAATTTATAAACCTTCTCTCTTTCAGATTTTCATTCTTTATTTTGTGTAATTATTTCTAACATTGCATGATTGCATCATTGTAGTTATGAACCTATTTGGAACATAATTGATGAGAGGTGGAATAATCAGCTTCATAGACCTTTGCATGCGGCTGCATATTACCTTAACCCTCACATGCACTATGAACCTAATTTTAGAAATGATGATGTGGAGGTAAAAGAAGGATTGTATGAATGCATGAAATGATTGGTCAAGGATGTTGCAGAAAGGAAAAAAATTAATTTACAACTTTTAGAGTTTCCTGGAGAATGGTGGGAGATGTTTGGAGATGGAACTCCAGAGTTGAAGCGATTTGCTATTCGAGTTTTGAACTTAACTTCTAGCTCTTCTGGGTGTAAGCGTAATTGGAGCTCATTTGAAATGGTAAGTCAAATTTGTTAAGTTATTATTTGTTTTTAATTTTTTTGTATTTAAACATTCATATTTATTTATAGGTTCACACAAAAGAGGAAATCGTTTGCACCAGAAAAAGATGAATGACTTGGTTTATGTCATGTACAACTTCAAGCTCAAAAATAAACAAAATAGGAAAATAGTTGCTCTCCCATTTGATGATATTGAGTTTGATGATGAATGGATAACAGAAGATGGTGATAATGTTGGGATTGAACCAGTTCAAGGTGAAGGTGATGAGGAAAATGTTGACATAGCTAAGCTAAGTTCATTTGATCCTACTTTAGAGCCAATTGATCTTGATAATATAGTGTTTGATGGCAATGTTGATGATGCACTCTTATCGTCCGAGGAAGAGGTTGACGGTGATGGAGAAGATGATGATGAAGATGAAAAAGATGATGATGTTGGAGATGATATAATTAGAGGATGGGAACCAGAAAGTTTAAGTTATTTATGTTTTGGTGATTTGTATTAACTTATGTATTAACTTATGTATTTGGTGTAATTTGAACTTATATAACAATCATGTGTGTTGAACCAAGTTATTTTAGAATTATTGAACTATTGTTTTTTATTTTCATTAATTGTGATGATGAAATTCTGAATTTGTATGGTATTATATAGAATTTTTCATATGAAGTAGACTCGTAACTTATGTATTTGGTGTAATTTGAACTTATATAACAATCGTGTGTGTTGAACCAAGTTATTTTAGAATTATTGAACTATTGTTTTTTATTTTCATTAATTGTGATGATGAAATTCTGAATTTGTATGGTATTATATAGAATTTTTCATATGAAGTAGACTCTTACGAGTCTACGAAGCTCTCATGAGTCAACATAAACTCTCGAGTCTGATAACCTTACTCACTATAACTCCAAAGCTTTGAAGAACAAAATTGGAACAAAATTGAATCCACCATACCATGCTCTTGGACTTGGTTAAAGACCATTCAGGGCTTTTTGTAGCTTGCAAACAAATCCATTGGACTCCTCCTGAGCAACAAACCCAAGAGGTTGCTCCATAGACTTCTTTAATTAAATTACCTTGTAGGAATGAGTTCTTGATGTCCAATTGATAAAGGGGCTACTAGTGCACAATTGGCATGAACAAAAAAAGACGAATAGAGACCATCTTGGAGATTGAAGAGAAGTTGTTACTATAAAAGTCGTTGGCAGGAGTGTGGCATCTATAACCTTTTTAGGTGCTCGGATAACCAAGGAAGCTGCACTTTATAGCACCAAGTTTTTCTACTTGTCCAAACCACTTAGATCAACAGCAAAACAAGTAGAATAAAAAACACGAGGAGAAATATGAAACAAAGGCTCATCAGGAACTAAGACGGAATGAGTGACTCAAGTACCAACAAAAGAAGAGGGCATTCTTTTAATAAGATACCCAACTGTAAGAACTGCATCGCTGCAAAATGAGAGGTGCATTTGAGTGAATCAAGAGGGTGCATGTAGTGTTAATAATATGTCGATGCTTGCATTTGGCAAAGTCAATTTGTTGTGGTGTATGTGGACAAGAGGAATGGTGGATCATACCATGAGATGTTATAAACTTGCAAAAAGAATAAAAAAAAAAAGTATTCCTTGCATTGTCACTATGTAATGTATGGATTTTATAACCAAATTGAGTATGAATTTCAACATAACTTTTGAAAAGTGGTAAACAATTCTTGTTTCGTTCTTTCATCAAGAAAATCCAAGTATTCATAGAAAAATCATTCATAAATGTGACATAATACTTGTTCCGTTTGTGTTAGCCAACTGCACCACCACCCCCTTTTGACATAATTTATATCTTATATAAGTCTCACATAATATGGAAGTCGAAGTTAAGGATAATTTATATAAACCCTCCTCTCTTAACTCATCGAAACGTCTTTTAAAAACAAAATCGTGACGGATTAAAGTTATAAAGCGAACAATACATTGGATGTTGTGATTGACCGTAATGATGTTACCATTGCGGACTTAACTAGGGTCCCAAACATCTTAATGAACAAGGCAACAAGAGTATTTGTGTGAGAAGTGCTTCTAGGAAATATGCCCAAAGCTAACAAGATTCACATTCCAAGGACTACAATTGGGAAATGTTGCGTATCAATGCCTTCAATTTATTAAAACTAGGATAACCTAAACAACCGTGGAGTAGATTAGGAGATTCAATAGTGGTATAAGCAATAACTATTGGACGTAAAAGTGATTTGGAAAGCACCACAGCCCAGGATCCAAGATCCAACAAAAGATGATTTAGAAAGGCAAACTATAGCATTACTAGAGTGAGCAATTGAAGCAAAAGTTTGTTGGGCTGCAGGTTTTGCCATTGGGGAAAATACACAATACCAAAGGAGCCAAATGATCCAAAAACCCTTCTTGAGGACATAAAAGTAACGAATCACCTCTAAAACAAAGAAGTTGACGAGTGCATGAAACAAATCATGTGGTGAAAGGTGGTGCTTGGAGTTTATGCCCCAGCATTTGATATGAGCAGAAGCTTGGCAGCGCGTGGAGGCTTATCTTCTCCACTGGTTTGCAGAGTCGAATAGATTGCCTTCTATTCCTACTGCCCAACAGTCCAACCTCAAAACAGTGGTGGTTGCGAAGACAACTAGGTCGGCGGTGACCCTTTTGGACAGTGGAAACAATTTTTATCAGATTCACATGTGAGTTTTGGTACCAACTTGAATATCAAACTTAAATTGATCTTAATTGCCTATAACTGTGTGATTTGTACACACCTGAGTATTCTTATTTATGAGGAATAAGATATACAATAAAAAGGAACAAAATCAATACCTAATGGTGGAAAATATTTGACCAGATATTTCCATATCAAATTATATCATATCTCTTCCCTATTTAATGTAATCAAATCACATCCTAACACAATCAAAACATATCTCTAACATAATCAAATTATATCTCTAACATAATCAAATTATATTTGTAACATAATTAATTATATCTCTAGCAAATCTATATTCGTCCTAAAATTTATACAGAGAATTGTCACCCGTTTTCCACTCTTGAAAAGAAGAGAATAGGTTCATCCCAAAATTTGGAGCGAACATTGTGACTTGTATTCAATTCTTAAGAAAAATAAAAACAACTTAATGACAAAACTGTCATTACAAAGCTCAAATTTTCACATTATACATAATTCCTCAAAAAGGCAAATCATAAAATAGAAAAGAGAAAACAGAGACAAGGCTTGAAGTTTTCTGGAGTCTGGACATAATATATAATGATCAATAGTTTAGACTTTAGACCTATCTAGTCTTTGTATGTATTCATCTATTAAATGACCTAATTGTTAAAAACCCTTTTAGATTGGACAAATACTTAACGATAATTATGCAATGGAATCATGAGCAGTAAGTCTATTTACATGTTACCTGCATGATTATCAGAATCAAATGTATACATGTATACATTCTATACTGACAGTCAAAAACCAACAAGGAAAACAAAACATACCTAACTTCTCGCAAACTTTTGCAACAGCTTCTTCTGAGACAGGTCCATCTGGTGAAAAGGAAGCCTTGCACAGCCTATAAAGTCTCTGTATATAATATGGCATCTTGTAAAGGTGTGATCGACTAATCTACTGATAAATACCTTGCAAGCAGCTTATCGATTGCAATTGGGACTGGATATACAATTGGATAATAACTGTATTTTAGTCTCAAAGCAACGGTAATGAATCTGAATAGCTGTAGATGATCCCTCACAGCTAATTTAATTATGGGCCTATTGAACAAGAAAAGAGTGATAGCACAGCCAAAAATAAATGAGTTTCACTTCATAGACATCACAACAAGTCTAATAGCAAACCACTTTACGATCTAAATAAACAATTAAGGCAGCACACAATTTATTCCAAAACACTGAGATTCGGTAGCATTCTGCTCTATGGTTTCTACAAATAAACATCCAAAGAACCTAAAACCGCAGTTTTTCACATACAAATCAACAAACCCCATAAGCTTCGCACAGATAAAAAAAAAATTAAAAAAATCCTACATTATTTCTTCATTTCCACTCATCAACACAGACAGCTCAAAATCGAACTTGACGTTTCAATAATAAAACGCTCATTATTTCCAAAACATACACTGTTAAACCGGGGGGAATTTTAGCAGACAGTGAAAAAAAAATGGAAAATAAAGAGCGACCCAATAACAAATATGAGCTGAAAAGGCAAGAAAACGCATAAAAAATAAGTATTGGATGAGAACCACAAATGGAGCACAAGATTCAAATAGAAAGAACAGTGGGAAAGGCAAAAAAGCACATGGAAGGAGGTTGCAAAGAGAGAAGCGAACCTGAGAAAGCCATGGAGAAGAAGTTTTGGGGGTAGGGTGCAGAAGTAGATGAAGAATGAGAAGGTTGAAGTATAGAAGAATCGGTTCAAAAGAAAGTAAAACCGAGGAAGAAAAGAGGAAAGAGAAAGAGAAGGTGAAAAAAATTAAAAAATTGAAGGAACGCGATTAATTAAAGAGGCCCAAGGAAGATCTTCAACACGTCATCTTCATACACTGTTTTTGATTTATTTTTCCGTTTTCAATTTTGGGGTCAAGTTTGTGTTTCCTGTGTGACTTTAGAACAGTTTTTGAACTCTAGCCAAGTCTTCACCATCTTACTTTTTTCTTTCTTTCCTTTAATAATTTCTAGTACATGTTTCCAGTAAAAAAAACAGTTAGGATATTTCGTGTTTTTCTTCACTACACACTGTTGTTTATATGAATGTTATCTCTCAAATAAAAGATGAAACTTTTTGTATTCAATTATAATTAAAGAACTTTTCTTTTTTACAAAACAGGTTTCATTATATTCTTCTTTTATTATGACTAAGGATTTATCTGCACGTGATTCTAGATTTTCGTGTCTTCTCCTGAAATAAACTAAGGCTTTAAGATAACTCTAAAATAGACAAGTTTGGAAGTTTGACAAATTTTGAAGGTTTTTACAAAACATGAAAGTTCGTTTTTGTTGTTAGATTAATAATATCTTTTTATGAGTTATTATAGAAATATTAAAACTATATATATATATATATATATATATATATATGTAGAGATTAAAATAACTCTATTTTTAAAACATACGATCCTAAAAATAAAAATTGTATAGTTATAAATAAATATAAAAAAAATATTTTTTTATTAAAAAGCGTTATTATTGCTATTTTATTCATACTGATCCTAAAAGACTTAAAAAAAGGAATTTTACGAAAAGAAAAATAAACAGGTTTGTAAGAAAATAAATATTTATTTATGTATTTTATAAAATCCTGAGGACACTTCTTGTTTATTCTGGTATAGAAATTGGAGATCTAAAAATTATGGGGCCGTAAGAAAGAAAATCTCTTGGCCCAATCGGTCCAACAACATGATGGAGGAGAATCTCAAAGCCCAATCGCATTAAGGTCCAATAGAAAATGGGACCCAGCCTGACTTGCATCCCGAGCTAGTAGTATATATTATCCACATTCAATTTGTTGAATCAGTTCAATCTTCTTCTAATAAAAACCCTAGCCTCGACCCACCCAAAACAACACAAGCAGAGGAAAAAGAACAAGTTCCACAAACAAACCAAATCAGACTTTCCAACCATGTCAGGAGTGGGACCTCTCTCGCAGGATTGGGAACCAGTGGTGCTCCGCAAGAAAGCCCCCACCGCTGCCGCCCGCAAGGATGAGAAAGCCGTCAACGCTGCTCGCCGCACTGGCGCCGAAATCGACACCATCAAAAAATGTTCGCCCCTGCTGCCCTTTTATATATTCTATCGAATATCGGTTTCCGGAAAAAAAAAATCATTTGTATTTTTTTAATGCTTTTGATTGGAATATCCGATTCCGTTGAGTTTTGTTCCGATTCGGGATTATCTTTTAGGAGTTTGGGTTAGACTTATTGTTTATATATATATATTTTAACGACTTAGCTCTTTATTATACAGGCGATTCTTATTTGGTTTTGCTGTTTTATGATTTTTGTTGCATGCTATTCATGTTTTGTTGCTTAATATCGACGCACTAGTTATTGATGTGCAGTTTTCATCTATATTTAGTGTGTTGAAAAATGAAGTGGGACTATGGGTTATGAATTTATACGTTGAGAGTGATTTTTGGATTGTGAGAGAGGTATTTTCTTCTGGGTTAAATTATTTAGGTTGGTTTACTTTAATGAATCAGAGTTGAATTATGGTGATTGTTAAGCTGTTGTATGCAGATAATGCTGGAACAAACAAAGCTGCATCTAGTAGCACTTCTTTGAACACTAAGAGGCTGGATGATGATACAGAGAATCTTGCTCGTAAGTATGCTTATGTATATATTTTCTACTAATTCGATTGTTTGCATTTTCTACCCTTAAAAAAGTTTGTTCCTTCTATTGGGTGTAAAATTTGCATGCAGCATGTTTTGATTGGTTGTATGCTATAAATTTAGCAGCTTGGGTTTTTTCTGCCTAGCTGTGGAATATTTACATAGTTAACTTGGGAAATTCATTTTTTTTTTATCATGGGTTTTCTGTGGGTAACACACACGAGCACACATTTTGATTTCATCACTCGAAGTTAACTTGTAGAAGTCTATTCTATAAGCACACTGCAAAAATACTGAATGACTTGGGACTTGGCAGAGAAGCTTTGAGGGGAAGGGGAATTACATTGGAGTTTGTAATTGTGGTTTGAAATCTATGTCAACCCCCAACATTTTTGTTCACTTTTTTTGCATAAAAGGTTTTGTTAACCAACCACTATAGCAATTTTTGTTGCATTTTGGTGAAGATAAATCATGTTAAATATGTATTGGCAGAAATTTCTCATAATTTTCCTTGACAATATTTACATACCCATACTAAATCCTGTTTGAGCAATACTTATTGTGATAACATCAATTTCAGGTAGATGTTTCCAAACAATAATGAATTTGTTCATTCCTGGTTTTTCCCAAAACCAATTTTGCCAAGTTGGGTGAAATCTAAAATCAACTTTCTTAACACTAATTCAGTCACACTCTTACTGTTCTAGTGTAGTTCCAGGGTAGACTGAACTAACTGCATTATGACAGTAGTCCCCCACGCATCCTATGCAAACATATATTTTCTGGAAAACAGCACTTTATCTTATTGTTGCGTTATTTAAGTTCTACATTCTTAGATTGTTATATCATTGTTCTACAGCAATTATAAAACTGAGTCTTGCCTACAATGTGCAATGTGTTGATTGTATCTTTGTTTGTCTGATGCGATAAGTGCTCTGGGGGTCTGCAATTCTCTTCTGTCTTGCGTACAATGTACAATGTGTTGATTATAGTTTCTTATGTTTGATGAGAGAATTGCCCTGGTGGTCAGCAATTCTCTTCTTTTTCTTGCTTACCTTGGCTGTTGTGGTCTATAACCAAGTTCAATGGTGTTGTGTTGTGCAATTCATGTCACTAACCTTACCTAATGGGATAAAACTCCAATTGTTGTTGTTGTTGTGTTATTTAGATTTTTCTGATGACATTCTTATAGATAAAATTGAGGAGCTTTCTGCAACTGAAGTTTGTCACTATAACTTTGATACCACTATATATAACTTTGAACATCAAAGACTTTATTCTTAATTCATTTGAATAAAAACTTCCTGTATACATGACTCAACCCTTTCTATTGTAATGCTCATACTGAGATTGAACTTGTCTGCTAAGATTAGACTGCTGTTTTTTTGTGGTGGTGTATCTTAGCTCTATGATATGAGCGGTCCAAGGTGGTTGCAGTGTTAAGATTCTTCTGATGACATATAGATATTGAGGGGCTTTATATCAAAAGAAGTGTGTTAATACAGCTTTGATACCACTATATAACATTGAACATCCATAAAGTTTCTTCTCTTAATTGTTTGAAGGTTTTAATATCAGGACCTTTTGTTGTGTATGACTCACACCCTTCCTACTTTAATGCTCATACTGAGTCATTGAACTTGTGTGCACAGATGATCGTGTACCAACTGAACTCAAGAAAGCCATAATGCAGGCCCGGATGGACAAGAAACTAACTCAGGCTCAGCTTGCTCAAGTATTGTTCTCTTTTTTTCCGTTTCTTTCACAAATATAATATATGTTGTGTCTTTGTGTTCATTATTTGTATTTGCGTAGTTACTGATAACGTCTGATTGTTTTCAGTTGATCAATGAGAAGCCTCAAGTGATCCAGGAGTACGAGTCAGGCAAAGCCATTCCAAACCAACAGATAATTGGCAAGTTGGAGAGAGCCCTTGGTGCCAAACTGCGAGGCAAGAAATGAAGAAGCAAATCTAACGGTTCTGTATGTAGTCTAAGGCTTTTATTTCTCTGTCCAAGGTTGGTTGTAAGAGAGACAACTGGTGTGGCAACCTGAGTCTTTCACTTGTTCGAACATGGTTATGTATTTGCATAAATAAAGATGTATTTTCTGCATAAATTAATTTACCTTGGAGCTGCGATGCTGTGATCATGATATAACTGTGAAGATCCTTGAGGTGTTATATAATTGGGATCGAGTGCCATTTATTATGGATAAGACGGAACCAAACGAAATGGCATTATATTGAGTTTATTGCCTAATCTTTGGATGCCGTGGAAGAAAGCAAGGAAGTAGAAAATGAAAACAATGACGGTTTGTATTTAGTGAAATAAAATGTGAAGAGAAGAGAAAGTTTGAATGTGCATTCTTTCGTTAGAAAGAAGATAAAAGATGTGCAAGTAGAATTTGTTATGAAATGACTTTTAGATTAAGGAAAGATTAAAATTTGGTGTATCCATTTTGTTAAAGAGACAAAATTAACTCTAGTTTTACATCAAACTCCTATTCACCTCGTCTTACGGTCACAAAATAGGTGGTTTGTTACGTATTATGCTACTTTGTCTGTGGTTAGCCAAAAAATGAATTAAGGGAGGTTAGTCCATTATAGTTACGTCAGACTCTCGTAGAGTAGGAGAATTAGTCATTTTTAATGTAAAAAATGATAAAAAGTTATATGTAAATATATATAATTGTGAATATATTTTTAACATTTTTATTACATTATTTAATATTTTTGTTGATAAATTGAAAAGATGATTAGTTTTATCTATTAAATTATTCAATTATAGTTAATAAATAGTCATTTAAGTTTAATATATATATATATATATATATATATATATATATATATATATATAAAGTTATGTTATTTTGAATTAAATATCTTATTTTTATAAAGTTAATTAGATAAATTTAATTTCTTTATTTAATCAAATAGTGTTTTCATTTAATTTAATAAAAATAAGAGTAATAAAAAGTTCAATAAAATAACCAAACATTACTTCTACCCTAATGAAAAATCACAATTGACATAATTGTAAGATAATTAATTGATATAGAAAAATCACCGTTACATGTTGTAAAGATAATAGTGTTTTCCGACTCATCCATCATCAATTTTTGTGATTTGTTGCGAAGAGTAAGACATTGCTTGACTTTGAAAGGTACTAAGTACTCTTCAAACTTCAAACAACATATAATTGCAACCTTATTTTCACGACAATTCTTTAGTAACATTTTTTTTATATTTTTTATTACTTAAAATGTATTTAAAAACATCAGAAAATGAGAGTCTCACATTTTTTTAATATTTTTCTCTTTATTTTATAATTTTAAATTCATTTTATCTATAAAATAACACATCAATTACTCTTTTTTATATATTTTATCTGTGTATATTTTTAAATACCATTACATTGGTGTCAAGTTTCTACCCACGATCAATCTTAGTATGTTATCGAAAAAAAAATCCTACTTTAAACATAGAAAACCATAAAGGGTCTTCATTATTTAAAAAAAAAATCAAATGTTTCTGAAAATAATTAATCAGATAATTAAATGATAAAACTAAATACGAAAGCAAAAGACTACTCTTTTCTTCTTAAAACATAAAGTAAAATTATTTTTCAGACAATTCCAATTAAGGTTCTAACAATAAAAACACTTTATAACAATTTTATATTTATTAACTTTAATGATAGTTAATATATTTCATCCACCGTTACTTCAAAACATTCAGATGTTTGGTTTCAACTTTTTTAAAAGATTATTTTATATTAATGGGTTCCACATGCACCCATGCACGGGGCATTTATTTATTTAAGTTTTTGAAAGGTGGTGTTATTAATAATGAAGAGTGAAGTGTGATCGAGACCCAAAGCAATCAATTCCCAAACTTTGTCCTATTTGGATTTGGTAAATGCCGGCCAATTGCATTCTTATGCCCCTCATCTTTTCCCTTTTTACACTTTTTCCTTCCAATAAAATTATTTGCAGATTGAGGTCCTTCTTTCTTAAAATATCATGTTGTGCTTTATTATAAGTTGAATGCTTTAGAATTATTGTAAGATACTAATTAGTATGTTTTTACATAAATTTTAGAGTTTATCATTTTTTTAATTATTTCTTACTAGCTTAAGTTACAATCTTGTATTTTATCTCAATAATATGTTATCTTACATCGGTTAAAAATATATTGAAAATAAATTTATAAACAAAATTTTATTAATTATCATAGCTCGGATTATATTCATATAGATATGAATTTAAACTAATATTATATTCTGATAATATTTTAGAAAAGTATGAAATAAAATATTTTTATTTAATTTTTAAAAAGTTTTAAAATATTAAATATTTTTAACTTCACGAATAAGATGATTAATGAAAAAAAAATGCTTATTTAGAATTTAAGTTCTTGAAAATTATGGTGATTTTGATCTGGGTCCTCCAAATTTAAAAAGAAAATTTTCAATTCAATTTGTTAAAATAAATAAAAAAATATAAAAGGAACTAAAATAGTTTTTAAAAAAATTATTTTTAGCTTAAATTTAGTATTTAAACAATAAAATCATATTTTATTAATTTTGGACAAAATTTTTCCTTTAATTTGAATGATGAAAAACATGAGCTAATATATGTCTGGTCCTTATATATTTTTTTGCAACTTGTTTTTAATTATTATATATTCAAAAGATTAATTTAATCTTGCAACTTTTTAAAATATGTTATTTTAATCATTTTTATTTTTACATAAAATATGTAATGATGAATTTTTGTCGTAAAAAAACAATGATTAAATTTATAAAATATGTGATTTTAATCTTTTTTTATTCTAAATTTAATATTGATACTTTTTTATCATTACAAAATTGAATAAAAATAAATTTATGTTTTTATAAAATTTGAAAATATCAATTTAAAAATATAAAAAAATGAAATCATTTAAAAAAAATAGAGATAAAAAGTATAATTGATTTAAAAGGAAATTTACCCAGAATTTGAGAAACTAAAATATAATTAAATAAAAAAGTTTTGTTCAAGGTGAAAGAACGAAAATAGTGTAAAATGAGTTGGTGGGAACACAAATTAGAAAAACTGAGGTACGAAATGCAAAGAGAAATGTCAGTATCAGCATTGTACGCGGCAGAGGAAAAGAGCAGAGGGAGGAGTGAGCCAAGTCAGAGTGTGTCTTCCAACTTCGAAGCTCCCACGCTTTCTAGCCATTCGCGCTTCTTCTCCCATTGCCCTTCAGCTTCAACCAGTTCTAGGGTTAGGGTTTTCGCTTCTCAGAGAAATCCAAATGGACGAAGATTACCGCTACAGAACGAAGGCCAAGATTGCACTCATTGCCATCATGGTTCTCGCTTCCCTCGCCGTCTTTGCCTTGCTCGTGGCCTTCGCTTACTACTGCTACATCCTCAACAAGGTCTCCAACCGCCGCAAAAGCCTCAAAAAAGGTTTGCCTCTCTTTCTCATAATGTGCTGAACTTCAATGTTCGCTTTGTATTTCTCTGCAATTATTAGATGGAACTGTCGCTGACCCATATGTACTAAAATGCAGTTGAGCTTTTCAGTTTATGAAAAAAAAATTAATAGCATTCATTTAGGTGTCATGTTGGTGAATTCATTATGTCATTTGAGACCATCGTGGTCTCACCTAATCTTTAGGTGACGTGTGATTTATTGTTGTTAATTCTTTCGTGTGAATTTGAAAATTTAAAGACTTGACACGTGAAGACTTATCAGGTGGTGGTTTGGGACTATCTAATAATTTATTGTCATGTGGGGATTTGTTTTGATTACCGTGTAATTTCTTCTTATTGAAGGGATGTGTTAGATTTAGTGCCATTGATAATAGGCTATTGTATCTCATGTGCTGTTTTATTTTGGTTTGATTGAGCTTTTGCTCGTTTTGTGTTTTTCCCCTCCCGGATTTGGGCCTTGTGGAAATTTTGGTAAAATTGTGTTATTATATTTTTTTTTTTCAGGAAAATTAGTGATTTTTTTATTGGAAGGTGTGACGGGTGGTGTTGGGCTTAATTGTGTTTTGTGTAGGTTTAAATCAAAATGGAGAATTTGACTGATGAAAGAGAGAGGGACGTTTGTTTGATTGATTGATGTTGCGATTCTGTTGTTCTTAGTTTTTACTGTTTATATGTGTTCCTTTCCTGTCTTAAAATTGGGTGGAGTTTGCGTATCAAACAGGATACGTTAGACCTGTTTGGTTTAAAAAGACTGCTCCTGTTTTCCTTTCCTGGATTTCCAAATAATTACGAAATGATGCCGTATTTTTATTTTGTTTTCAGTTCTCTGCAATGATAAATTATGCAATGGTGAACATTCCATTTTTTCTATGTAAATTTTTGAAAATACTAAACAAAGTGAAAATGGTGTGATTTTTAATTATTTGTGAGAACAAGAAATGGAAATAGAAATTATCTTTTCAAACCAAGTTGATCCTTACATTTCCTTTGTATTTACATTTACATAGTTTATATAATTATCACATATCAATCTCTACACGTGTAAAAAAAGTATGATGCAGACAATATTAATACTGCTAGTTCAATGATCTTCATTTATATTTCTTTTTCTGAGCGGTATAATAAATTCTCATCTGTATTGTTTCAGAGTATTGAAGAGGGATAAAGGAGTACATTGAGTGTTATTATGTTTTACCTTTTTTTTTTTCAACATATTAAGCTGAATGGTTTGAAAGTAACTTTTGTGTTTTAACTTTAAAACTTTTATATCTTTTTCCTCTTTTTTCTACTTTACTTGAGTAAATTGACGTCCCACTTTCTGACAGATTTTGATTGATTTTATATTAGTTGAAGACTCTAATCTTAATGAGAAAAGCGACTTTGCAAATCTGCAAGTTGTTGCCGAGAAAGGACTTCAGGTGTTCACTTTCAAGCAGCTGCATTCTGCAACAGGGGGCTTCAGCAAGTCAAATGTCGTTGGTCATGGTGGATTTGGACTTGTTTACCGGGGAGTGCTCAATGATGGCAGGAAAGTTGCAATTAAATTCATGGATCAGGCAGGAAAGCAAGGAGAAGAAGAATTTAAAGTAGAGGTTTGTTACTTCTTAAAACATTTTGACCAGTTCTATTTCTTTTCTAGAAACTATGGGAAAAGGATGCATTGTTCTTCATGCTCATGCATTTGATTTCCCTTGTAATCAAAATAATTAAATTTTTTAATCTAACTTTTTTTGGCCGAGTCAGTGAATTAAATAGCTACAGAAGTCTTTGGAAGCCAAGTCATTTTGGTAATTGAATTGAATTAGTTGCTTACATCACTGTAGGTGGAATTGCTAAGTCGGTTGCATTCTCCATATCTTCTGGCATTGCTTGGGTACTGCTCTGATGCCAATCATAAATTGCTGGTGTATGAATTTATGGCAAATGGTGGACTGCAGGAACATCTTTATCCCGTTAGCAGTAAGTTATGAAATATATATTTGCTAGAAAGCTGATATTATTTGCTAATTTAAAATGCTGTAAATGGATAATATAATACTACAAGTAACTTTTCGTTTTTGACAGATAGTAGTTCAGACTCATCCTCATGATGGGATGAATGTGTCATATGTCTATGGAATTTTGACATAACAATATCGGCTTTTGCCATACTTAATCTGTTTGCTCTTTACAGGGGCTGTAGCAAAGAAAAATTGATTAGAGCATTTTTGTAGTTTGAATGAGAAGCACTTTTTCAAATCAGTTAGAAATATATTTGATTATAGAGTAAGCTGTTAATCATGCAGTATTGGACATCTGACCAGCGTGTGCCCAGTTTGACTGGTTGCATTTGGTACACTGAGTAACTGATTCCTTACATAGATGTCTCTGTTCTACTGTGTAAAATTGGATGGCATGTACATAAAATGAAAGAAAATAATCTTCACCAAATTCTCTCTCTCTTTTGCATTCTCTCTTGCGAACTTCTTCACTCGCAAGGCTTTTTGTTCCCTTCTATAGTTTATGATGACTATGGGTTGGAACTGACGCATTGAACTATGTTAGTTGCATATTACACAATCTGGATAGTGACCTTGAAGTGATAACCATGGTATTTCAATCTTAAATTACATTATATGTTCGATTTGTCATTGCTTTTTCAGATGCCCACATTTTACATAGATTAGGTGCATAAGTATTATGTAATCTTCTTTGAGGAAAAGCTTAAGGTGGTCAATTTATATATAATAATCATCTTGCAAGAGAGAAGAGATTTACCTCCTGATTGATTTTACACATCCTCCAGTCTCTCTTTTAGGTGAAGAGACCGTTTAGGCAGGAGAGACTTATCTGTTCTAACAGGAGAGGCTATTGAAGAGGTTTACTATCTTTTGTCGGTTATTTTGTATTGTTGAGTTGGTTTTGATCAGTTGATTTTCTTGTAGATTCTATTATTACACCCATAAAGTTAGATTGGGAAACGCGATTAAGAATAGCACTGGAAGCTGCTAAGGGTTTGGAATATCTTCATGAGCATGTCAGTCCCCCAGTTATTCACAGAGATTTTAAGAGCAGCAACATCCTCTTGGATAAGAAATTTCATGCCAAGGTATCTGATTTTGGATTGGCAAAGCTTGGACCTGATAGAGCTGGGGGACATGTTTCAACTCGAGTTTTGGGCACCCAAGGATATGTGGCCCCTGAGTACAATTCTTAACTTGTTTTTACATTGTTTTGGTTATTCTGTGTAACCTTTATCTTTATTTTAAGAATTTTTCTTTCATTAATTTCATCTCGTGAAAAACTAACGTGTTTTCAATGTTTTTTCTGTGCAGATATGCACTAACAGGGCATTTGACAACAAAATCGGATGTGTACAGTTATGGTGTTGTACTTTTGGAGCTGCTGACTGGCCGGGTGCCAGTAGATATGAAGAGACCTCCAGGAGAAGGTGTTCTTGTTTCTTGGGTGGGTTTTTTAATTCTTTCTACCAATCATGTTTTAAGTTGATTCTGTACTGCTTGGTGATAGTTTTCTCTCCAGTATTTCTAGTTATGCAACACTTGGCACTAACTTATTCTAACTAACTTGATGTGCGATGTGTTTAGGCTTTGCCCCTTTTGACTGATAGAGAAAAGGTTGTAAAGATTATGGATCCTTCATTGGAGGGACAGTACTCTATGAAAGAGGTTGTCCAGGTGGCTGCAATTGCTGCAATGTGTGTGCAACCAGAGGCAGATTATCGGCCTCTCATGGCAGATGTTGTGCAATCATTGGTTCCATTGGTGAAGACTCAAAGGTCCCCTTCAAAGGTAGGAAACTGCTCTAGTTTCCACTCCCCTAAATTGTCCCCCGGCCCAACATTCAGTTAATGCATGTTATATATATATATATATTATCAACATTTAAATGAAGGATAGGTACATGCTCACCAAGCATAGATTTGCATACTTGTAGTAGTTGCCGTTTCTTTGTAATCTTCAACCATATGTAATAGTTTATGAAGAGGAAAAAAAGAAACGGAGTTTAATGCTAATGTTCAAATTGATGAAAGATTATTGTTGTGTATTTAGTTTGTGATGGAAGGATCTGCGTACGAATCTACTTTTAAGTCTCCCATAATTGATGGTTGGTTGCATGGTGCTTTACTCATCATTATGGTTCTCAATTATCAATTATTGTATCCTTGAAGGCAAACAAAGAAAAAGAAATAGAAAATAAAAGAGAGAAAGCAATTGAACACGCCTCAGGGATTCATCATCCTATTGTCTCCTCGCATGACTTTTTCCATTCTTGTAGTTGCTACTGGCTGGGGCATAGATTTATTTTAAAGGTGGATGGTGTTAGTGGATCATGGCCAAAGGATGAAAAGCTGAATGCTATTCAACGTATCATGAGAGAAATAATTAGAACGTGTTTGCTTAAATGTGTAAATATGATAGACGAAATGTACGCAGGATTCTTAAATATTTAACCCTATTTCTATTTCTAGAGCGTTACTGAGAAGCCGTGTTTAAACTATTGTTTTCCCACATTTGATCATCGCTCCATATCTTTATCTTTCTAAAACCCTTGTCATTGTCATGGCGACGTATCAAAAGCTTAAATCATTTATAATTTCCTTGGCAAAAAATATGTTATTATAAAATCATTTATAAAATGATTTCTTTATCTTATATGGTTTAATTAATGAACTATGAACTATGTGACGAAGCTTTATCCCCGGGCCAAACACATCACAATAATAAGCATGTGAAGAGAGTTACGATCATAATCTATCCTTATACGATTCACACACATCTTTATAATATTTTCCACTATCACGTGAATTGCAGATTTCCCTATCAAATCACTTATATAGTTCAGAAATTCAAATCATTGAATTTTTCATCCATATATACCTTTGCCAACCTTTATTATAAGTTCTAAAAACTATATTTCAAACGAATGATGCACTAGAAAAGTGCACACAACCTACTTTTTTATTTTTTTCAGAAACGTGAGCGATACCCAATTTTTTTATCATTTATTTTCTTAATTTTGATATAACAAAATAACTGATTAAGACAAAGATGCGTTTGACTTAACTAAATCTAATTGAAGTTAGATTCAGAGGTGCTTTATTTGTGCATATACAACTTGTAAAAACTGGTCAAACAGATCCCTGCTTTGGTTCTCCTAAAAAGGATATATATGTATATATTCATGGTTATGATTAAAATCACTTTTATGGCGAATGTACATCTTTGCGTTCACTATATCATAAATTATGACTAGAACTGACGTGTAAAGTAACACCAATCATGCATCTCCTTTCATTAAGACAAATGATAATAAAAAAAGATAAAAGCTGAAAACCCAAAAACCAATCATAGAAATTAAAAATACATTATGCAATTTTTATTATGGTCTTGCTATATTTAGTCTTATTAAGATATTGGTTAAAAACTAAAAGTATCAAATACTATAAGAAATTTCTTAAACAAAAACTTATTTATATATTATAAACTGATTTAGAAACTATATAATTTAGAAGTTTTCAAATTACTCTATCATAGTAGATTAATTAATCATTAAATTAATCTCTAAAATTAGGACAAAGGTTTAGCTATTTTAGAGACTGTAAATTTAATTTCTATAAACATTTTTTTTAGTGAAAATATTAAAAATAATAAAGAAATATATTTTTACACATCTCAATGAATTTTTTTATTTATAATTTCATTTTGCAGATCCTCCTAATAAGTGCACTAGTTAACATTTCACTTTTTATTACTCACGTTATTCACATATAAACATTGATGGATCACTCAACTTTATGAAAGAATCTTAAAATGAAAGTTGTTTAAGTTAACCATACAAAATAATATATATCATTGAGATGTGTTAAAAAATTGTCTCAAATACATTTATTCCTAGTTCACTGAAGTTGCTACTTCTTTGGGTGTTGTCTGAATTGTAGCCTCAAAGATGGTAGTTTAATCTTCCATTAACCAGTGATAAGATGACTTAGAAAATTTAATTCTCTCTATCAAAATTTACTTAAATCTATGAGATTATTACTAAAATTTATTAAATGTGAAGTAGAATATTATCAAACTTTTCATGATTGTAATAAGAAGGGTGTGCTTGATGTATTACAGCTCCCCAACTAGTCTCAAGAAGAAATCTGGAACTGTGAATTTATTTTTCTACGTACCACTCCATACTTCAAGATTTTTCTCCATTTGATCGTGTTCAACTTCAATTATGAATATTTTTCCCTTGTTTGTTATTGGGAATAGTTCAAGTGTCAACTTCTCTAATGATAAACCATCTTCATTTTTTATGGAAAAACCTTCAGAAAGTAAATCATGTGGAGCAGCCAAATTTGAAATATTGGTACAAATTTGAAGTGTCTGCATGCACCAACACTCCATATATTGCGCATACCCTACTGCGTTCTTCACCCTCTCTCACAACACATTTGTGGCTCAACTTGATCTATGGCACCCTTCTTACGTACCCTCTTTTTTGTTGCACTCTTCATTCTTTCTCTCCTCTCTTCTTCTTCAACCAATGCACAACTTTCTACCAACTTTTATGATAAAACTTGTCCTGATCTTCAAACCATTGTGAGAAATGCAATGGTTCAAGCCATCAATGGAGAACCCCGGCTTGGAGCCTCTATACTTCGATTGTTCTTCCATGACTGTTTCGTCAATGTAAGAACACAATTTCTTGTTTCTTAGCCATGTCTCTATATATTTGAAATGAATGTCTAGAACTAATCATGGTTACATTTTCAGGGCTGCGATGCATCAATTTTATTGGATGACAGTGGCAGCTTTGTCGGTGAGAAAAATGCAGTACCTAACCGAAATTCAGTGAGGGTTTACGAAGTGATTGATACCATTAAAACTAAGGTTGAAGCTGCTTGCAATGGCACTGTCTTTTGTGCTGATATTCTAGCACTTGCAGCAAGAGATGGAGTAGTTCTGGTAAGCCATCATTTCTCCCATTTTTGTTTTTACATAAATTTCATTGCTATTTGGCGTGCCTAATATGAGAATGGTAAAATAACAATATAAACCCAATAACCGTGATACGTTGACACTCTAGAGAAAAAAACTCCTTCAACAATTTACTTTTTAGATTTTTATATTATTATTTTATTATTTAAATTTTTTTTCTCAATCAAAATATTATTATTTTAAAATTATGAATGATATGTTTACGGAAAAAAAAGTGTTAAAATATCTTTTTCTTAACCTAATTTTTCCATTTAGGAAAAAGAGGTTTCTACAGTAATAATATTAATTAGGATTCATAAAATTTATTACTTATTGTCTATAAAATTTATTTTTATTTCATCGTACTTAATAAAAAGCTAAAATAACACGAGAAATTTAATTATTATTTCTAAAAACGAGAATGTCTCGATTTTAATACGATGCTTATTATAATAATATTATTAAAATTTATAAAATTCATTTTTATTTATAATGTATTTTGAAAAAGTAAAATATAACAAGATAAAGCTAATTATACTAAAAACAAAAAAAAATTATTTTCTATTCTGGTTTTGTATCTATTATAATAATATCGTAGAATATATTATCATGTTTATATGTTTATTTTTAAAGTGAACATTGATAAATTTATAAATTATTTTTTATTTCATGTGAATCATAATACCGATATTGTTTTGAATTAAACTTAATATTATATTTTTTTACATAATAAAAAATGAAAAAGTAGAAAAAAATTTTGAGAGAAACAACTATGAATGAGTTATACTAATTCTTTTCTAACAAGATAATAACATCTTAAAAGAAGAATTGTTCCATCTTGAACTTTCTAAAATGCACATAAAGTCACCAACATTACATTCAATATAAGCAAAAATTGCGGAAAAAACCTTTGATAAATATGATTTCTATTAGGTTTTGATGCTGCCATTGAAATATTAGGATGATATTCCAACCTTGAGTCATTCTACAAAGCACATAGCTAACCTGATGTTTGTTTTTTTCCTAACATCTCATTTTGGCATGGTCTTATTTTCAAACCCTGTTCCCCACTTTCGGTTTTACTTTCCCCTCACACGTAATCGATCACCATGTCAACTCTCCTAATCTGCTGGGGTCCCCTTCCCCAAGAAAATGCATCACACAAACAATAATTCATCAAGAGAAAATTATGGTTCATGCAATCAAAGCTGGTGTCACCCTTGTCTCATTCTCCACAACAACAACAACCACTCATTATCATTCCCTTTTGAAAACCTGAGAATCACAAGTACCTCCAAACCTTTGTCTTGTGCTCTTTCATCCATTTTTCACCACTTGAAAACCTCATTTGCTCTCTCTTTCGTTTTACACTTCATCATCTAATATCACAATAAAATATATGATCACTTATGTTAGGTATACGTTATCTCATTCAATATATTGGATTCTGTTTAAGATTGAGAAGAAAAAAGTAATTATGATGTAAAATTATTTAGTAACTATTTTTACTTTTTTTTTTAAGTAAAAGTTTGTTAAAAACATAAAAAATGTTTTTTTTAGTTTCTAATTATTTTAAAATATAACAAATACATATATACCTTTTTGGCTAAAAAAAAACACTAAATTTTGTTTCTAATTGACTAATAAAATACAAAATTATATTCTTTATCTAAAACGAATTTTTCACTAACCCTAAACCTAAAAAATGGAAGCTTGGAGGACCTTCATGGGCGGTACCTCTAGGTAGAAGAGACGCAACAACAGCAAGCGAAAGCGAAGCCAACGCCCAAATCCCTTCTCCGTTCTCCGACCTTCCCACACTCACTTCCATCTTCGCCGCCAAAGGCTTGAGCGCACGTGACCTCACCGTGCTCTCCGGCGGCCACACCATAGGCCAAGCGCAGTGCCAGTTTTTCAGAGCCCGCATCTACAACGAAACCAACATCGACACCAACTTCGCCGCGTCGAGAAGAGCCGTTTGCCCTGCCTCCGGTGGGGACACCATCTTGTCCCCTCTCGAGTCCCTCACTCCCATTCGCTTCGACAACAACTACTACTCCGAGCTCGTCGCTCGCCGTGGCCTTCTCCCCTCCGACCAAGTGCTCTTCGATGGTGGCTCTCAAGACCCTTTGGTGAGAACTTACAGTAACAGTAATGCTGCGTTTTTTGCTGATTTTTCAGATGCTATGGTTAAGATGGGTAATCTCGGTTCTCTCACTGGGACTGCCGGTGAGATCAGAAGGAATTGCAGGGTTGTGAATTGAAGATCCAGATTTTCTTGTTTGATTCAGTACGAGGATCGTGTTCTATAAATTTTGTGTGTTTTTATGTTTGGTTTTCATTTTGCGTTTTTTTTTTTTTTATTGCGTTAAATTTATTAAAAATTATAACATTAGATGAGTCATTGAATAAAAGCTTAAAGACTCATGATTTTTAAATTTTTAATAAATTTTACTCAAATTTATTGAAAAGAATGTGGCAAAAGGGTTTATAATATATATATATATATATATATATATATATATATATATATATATATATATGTTATATTTTAAACATATTTTTATACTTTCTGTGTCAAATTCAGTGTTACGCAATTAAAGGGGAAGGAGGGAACTTGGTTTGGTTTAATTTGGTGCTAGTTTTTTAGGGTTAGTATTTTTATACGTTCATCCCAAATTCTATCTATCTATTAATGAATGAAAATAAAATAAGTGGATAATAATACATGAAGAAATTACAAAAAAAATGAAAAAGTATTCAAGATTATTATTACTTCAATGTTTTATTTTTTATTATTTAAACAATACAAGATTATTGCATGATTTTTTTTTTTTCTAGAAAACATTGTTGTGAAGTTGAGATAAGGATAATTAAATTATTAAGCCAAATGCAACGTATCCATAGTTTCTTCTTCTCACGAATGTCAAAACATTCTATAAAATATTATTTTCCGGTTTAATTACATGTTCATACTCAGCAAACACATGGCGACAATGTATGGAAAGATCATGCATGATGCTTTTTAAATAATAAGGATAAAATATATTTTTCTTATAATTTCATAAAATTTATGTTTAATATTATTCAAATATTTTATTTTATTTTATATATTATTAATTATTTTATCAAATTAAAAATAATTGTCAGTTTTATATTCTAAAAATGATTGAATTATAAATATATTTATACATGTGTATTTAAGTGTCATTCGTAATAGTGAGAATAATATCTTTAATCTTGACTATTTTTTATATTTTACATTAATTATATAATCAATATAGATATTATAAATGTAAAAAAGTTCGGAAATATAATTGATTTAAAAAAATTTATCCATCATATTAGTTGCATTGGTTATTGATATAAATTCATTCATATATTACTTAAATTAATTGAAAAAAACTTAGGAAGTAATAAACTTTGATAGTTTATATTTACATTAATATATATATATATATGACATAAAATTAATTATTTTTTAATAGAGATAATTAAAATTTTAATAAAATAATTAATATTATATAAAAACCAAATAAAATATTTTAATTATACTAAACACAAATATTTATCTTAATTAATATAAAAAATATTATATCTAAATAATAAAAATAAATATTTTCTAGAAATAAATTTAAAGATTATGATTTTATAAAAGATTGAAAAAAAAAAACTAAGCGTCTCTATAAATCAAAGTTTTAAAACTATTTTGTTTTTTTCAATTAACTAAAACCATAAAACCTACCATGTACTCTATAAACCAAAACTTTTAGTTTTAAAAGATTTTTTATGCTAAATTTGTCAAATAATTTTATTTTTAAATATCTTATTTAAATTTTTAGTTTTAAAGTAATTTTTAAGTCATAAAAAAAAGTTAAAGGTAGGCCAAAATGTTATGCTCTTTTTGTTTTAATTTTCTCCACTTTTCACACAAAAATAAAATATGGAAACACCTACATGGAGTTTGGAAAGGGAGGAAATTTTGAATTTCTCAACAATCCAATGTTAAAATATATAATAATAATAATAATAATAATAATAATAATAATAATAATAATAATAATAATAATAATAATAATAATGAATTATGATGTAAAAAGATATTTATATAAATTATTTTTTTTAAATGATAGTTTTTAATAAAGATGTGCTTAATTGACATTAACAGGAGAGCATCAGATTAAATTATAAAAAGAGTAAACTCGTAATTGATTAATTATGATAGATTTTACTATAATACACATGTAAACACAATTTGTTACTTGTAGACAGATAATTAATTATGTCTTCATATTTAATAGATTATATAATACATAATTAATTATATCTTCAAAAAATTATTAATTATGCTTGTGTAATATAAAACTAATGCAAGATTAAATTTTATATGTTAAGTATTTTCAAATTAATTAATCTGTTATTTGAGTTTTTGAGATACATGAAACTCACTATCTTTTTTAATCTTTATCTTTTATTCACACTTCATTAGGTTATATTTATTATACTTTTCATATTTATATTCTAAAAAAAAGTAAAAGCATATTTAAGAGCATTAATTGCTTACAAAATTATTCCCACTAAATTAATAGCAAATTTTTAAACTTGCACAATTCATTTTCATTTTTTTCTTAAATTTGAACAATTTAAGTCTCACTGTTAGCATGTTCATTAGTCTTTTTTCTAATCTTTAATTTAAACATGGTTGTGCTATCTTCAATATTTTCCATCCTTACACATAATTTTTTTTCTAAAAAAATAAAACGTGTTTTGAATAACATTAATTTCTCTCATGTTAGGTTTGGACCGTGAGAAATGAAAGAAAAAAAATTAAATGGAAAATATTTTTTTTTAAATTAAATAAAAATATTTTAATTTTTTGTTTTTAATTTGTAATCAATTACTATATAAATATCACTTTAAAATATATTTTTCTAACATCATGATAATTATATGGGTAATGATTAATGAGGTTGATTCTTCACTTACAATTAATAATTAATAAGACAACTTAAAATAATTTTACTGTTGAATAATATATTTTATAAATGTATGAAAATAATTTAAAATTTAAAATCATAGAATTTTAAATTTTATCATATGAGTAAAATTAAAATATTTGTATTTTTTTATTTCTTTTTACGTCTGTTTCCTTTATCTTTAATTTAATGATGGAGACGTGTTGGAACAAGTATTTCATGATGTTATTAAAACTCTTTTTTAACGCTCGAAAAGTTAAATTTTTTTATCGATGTATATATGTGTTATGTTTTATTGATATTGCTAAAATTATTTTTTTTACCAACATGTTAACTTGATTTTATTTTTTTATTAATTATTAGAGTTCTAACTAATGTCAAGTGAAGAAATATTTCATTTGATACCAATTAACAAATCAACAAAAATTATTTTAGGCCAATAAATTGAAAAATAATTTTAACCAATCTCAATTAAAATATTTGTGGCTGAAATATTTCAAATTAAATTCAACATATGTCAATAGAAAAACTAAAGTTAATGTTGAGCATATTAAATAACATTAGTTACTTACAAAAATTTATATTAATTCTACAATTTAAAATAAAAATAACAAGAACTTAACCATCTCAAGCAGCATTTTTTTTTAATTTTTTCTGGGATGTAAAATAAATAAAAGAAAACACGAAGTTATCCATACAAAGCAAGGGTAAACAATTATTTAAATTCCAAGGTTTGTATCGTATTGTACCATAGATTTTACACATTAAAAAGTAGTATTATTATTATAACCCAAACTCACCAACCACGTAGAACTAAGACTTAATTAATGAGTAGAGAGTATTAAATCTGAGTATTTTATTTTATGTTGCCATTACATCAACATTGCTACTTCCGAATACGTATTTTCCGTAAATGTAACATTGGAGGTTCCATGTGATCCGTCGTTGCATATTTCACCCGTAAATCCTGCCACACCAGATTATGCAACCCGTCGTTGGTTACCGAAACAGAAATGTCATCTGACGGTTCCAATCGAAGCGTGTTTTTCACTCTCTAACCCACGCGCCTGAGGAAAGATACAGAGACACATTAATATCACACTCTCTTACCCTTTATATACTCCAAAGCCTGGACCCAGACCAAAGCATTACTATTCCCTCAAAACACAAAAAGAGAGAAATTAGAGAGAGAAAGTGTGTGTTAGAGAGAGAAAGAAAAGAGAGTGTTTGTGCTGTGTGGGTGGAGCTTCTTTCTCACATGGCCTCTGTGCCGTTGGGGCCGCAGCAACAGCTTCAACCACCGCAAGTGGCAACTCCGCCGCAACAACCTTCGCAAGCGGAGAGTGACCCGATGAAGGTGGACTCTCGCGGCGGCTCCGACCCTGCCTCCAATAAGGTAATTTACGCTCTCGGCCAATCTCTCATTGTGCGTAACGGCGCCGTTTGCCGTCCTTGGATCGTTTTTGATCCGCTGGACATGCCTCGGTGCGAACGCTGCCTACGGCGATCTACTCGTTTCCGGCATTGTTTTTGCTAGCTCTGAGGTCGCCGGAATTTTTCTCCGGCGATTGTCGTAGTGGTTCTAGCGTTGCCTTGAAGTAATGACGTTTTTTGGGCTTATGGAATTGGAAATTTCGTAAGCATGGACAAATTGCTCTTATTATCATTATTTCTTTTTTTTAATATTTGGATTTTACTTGTGCTTTCATGGTTGAGTTGAGATCTTAGTGTTGAAAAGTTGAAATTTGTGGAGATTTCTGTTTGGTGGTCCAGAAAAGAGAAACGGAATCGAGTGAAGTGAAAATGTGAATCTTATTCTTTAATTTGTGCTTTTCATTTCTTCAAACAAGAGAGAGAGAGAATCTGACTAGCACTTACCCGAACTTCAAGTTGGCTTAGCTGAGTCTACCTCAGTTTGTCATCCCTTGGTTTCTTCCACTTTCCAGATTTTTCTCATTTTTTTCCCTAATATATTCAAGGTTTTAAATTATGCTTGTGGTTGTCCTGTATTTTTTAATATTGCAGTCAATGTCGCCACAATTGCGATTACAATCACTACAAGAACTTAAAGTTGCTATTTAAAACCTTGAAGCTATTGATGTTTAATTTTTGTTCCAACAGACCACGTTGATTTCACTTGATCTCTGATTTACCGTGAAATTAAAATGGCTTTAACAATATCGTTGATTCTTTTAATGTTGGCTCTATATTATTTGCTGTATAATTTTTCTATTATACATGGGGTTCCTTGCTTAACATGGGGTTTCCTTGAGTTGCTGGTGGATCGTTGTTCAAATTGGTTTTGTTTGCTTCAGGGAATAAGTGTTCTTAGATTCCCTCTATCTGTTGTCTCATAAATGATATCAAAGCATTTTGGCATTTGATGCTTTCTTGTGGACCATGGTAACCTCATTGAACTTTGTCTGTGCACATACCTTATAACCTTTGAGCTCTTTACACTTTACCTATCTTCAACATCGCCCCGTTGATTGGTGATTATCTATCCATTTCTGTGTTTTTCTAGTATCATATAAAACTTTTAATGAAGCATCATAGGAATAGGTGCCCAAACCAAAGTATTGTTTTCTAAATTACTGTATATGTAAAATGTAAATATGTATGTATGTCCATTGATGACTTTGTTGAGTCGTGCATAGGTTGAGCGTATGTATGACCAACCAATTTAAACTTGTCCATAGTCATATCATGTTGGCATGTTAAGTAAATGTTTTTAAACTAAATTATTGGTGGCGATTGCTATTAAGACAAGTATATTGAAAATAACTCAATAAGCAATTATGGATATTGTATCAAGAAGAATCTATATTCTATTTCTGTATTAAGAGATCTGATTTACTACATTAAATATTTTTTTTTTATTTGTATAAATTGCAGGAAATGTCTGCTCCTGTTGCAGAGGGTAATGAAGCACATGCACTCACTGGTCACATAATCTCAACCACAATTGGTGGCAAAAATGACGAACCTAAACGAGTGCGGCACATTCTAACCTTTCAGCTTTTTCTAGAGAAGTTCTTGTACTATAGATAAATATTTACTTCCTTTTAGAGACCCGGGGGAACTACATTGTGGGTTGGGTAGTAAACATGGTAAACCTGTCATTAAGGATTCATCTAAAATTATAATTTTGGTAGTCAGCTAGAAGTTGGCATATTTCCTCCACGCATATTTAATCTAATTGGTTTTGTTTTCTAAAATTAATTTTGTTCTCTCCCATTTATTGATTGATTGACCGATCGACTTTGGTTCCCATTTTTGGCTTTTATAAATATGTATGTATGTTTGTGTGTATGTATACATATATACACACGCAAACATACATATAATAGTTAAATAAAATTGAAGGAGTAAGATTGATGATAACTTCCATGGGTTTCCATTTCTTTTATTCTCATAAATTTGTGCTCTGATACCACTTGCAGACTATCAGTTACATGGCTGAACGTGTTGTTGGCACTGGATCATTTGGAATTGTTTTCCAGGTAAGGATAAATGAAGAAATATTACTCTTGAGGTGATACTGTTCCTACATTGCTTTTTCTGCTGTCAAGTATCTCTCATATTGCTTCACATTGTTGGGTTTGTTCCTTTTTGACCTAAAACAAAGGCAAAGTGCTTGGAGACTGGGGAGGCAGTGGCTATAAAGAAGGTCTTGCAGGACAGGCGATACAAAAATCGCGAACTGCAGTTAATGCGCATGATGGATCACCCAAATGTAGTTTCCTTGAGGCACTGTTTCTTCTCTACAACAAGTAAAGATGAACTTTTTCTGAACTTAGTGATGGAATATGTCCCTGAGACAATCTTCCGAGTTATAAAGCACTACAGTAGTATAAACCAGAGAATTCCCCTAATCTATGTGAAATTATATACATATCAAGTATGAATATTTCTCCTTTTGCAGTTTGGTTTGATATGTTATTCTTGTTCCTTACTTTTTCTTTTGAAATTTTGTAATGCTTGAGTTGGGATGTGATGTTTAGATATTTCGTGGACTGGCTTATATCCATACCGTACCAGGAGTTTGCCATAGGGATGTGAAGCCTCAAAATCTTTTGGTAAGTTGTTCATTGGCTATTTTTCCTCAAGGATTGCATTCTTTAACTCTAATTCTAATCTCCATTTGTTCTGTAGGTTGATCCACTCACACACCAAGTCAAGCTTTGTGATTTTGGGAGTGCAAAAGTTTTGGTATGTCGGTGTTCTTCTTGTGCATTTCATTACTTTATACATGTATGCTACCATGTTAATGCTGGAAGTGGAATGCTAGTGTCATATGCTATGTACCTGGATCATAGAATTTGAAAAGCTTTTTTGAGATCTGTTCATAAGTGCAATTTTAGTTTTGTATATGTGATAAGTAAATAGCCATTAACCACTAATGTTGCTATTTAACTGGATCTCAACTCATTAATTTTTCAGTAAGTAGAAGAAAGGGCATTTGTTGGGATCACATACTAATATGGTTACAGATATTTGCTCATACAAAGTAAGGTATGATTTTAATAATTGATTTCATGCCAGGTGAAGGGTGAATCAAACATCTCATACATATGTTCACGGTACTATCGAGCCCCAGAGCTAATATTTGGTGCGACAGAGTACACAACTTCTGTTGATATCTGGTCAGCTGGTTGTGTACTTGCAGAACTTCTTCTAGGCCAGGTTGTTAAAATTTTAGGCAACCTATGCACTAATGTAGCTCGTACATAACAAGTTTTTTTTTTTTTTTGTTTATGAGAAATGTTATCTTGACTTCTCATAGTTTCAAAATATTTCTTTAGCCGTTGTTCCCCGGTGAAAATCAGGTCGATCAACTTGTGGAAATTATCAAGGTGATGTTTTGTCTATGCTGATATTGCCCTGAATTGTGTGAATCAAGATACAGAGAGATAACTGTTAAATGTGTTTTCTTGTAGGTGCTTGGCACTCCTACTCGAGAAGAAATTCGATGCATGAATCCTAATTATACAGACTTTAGATTCCCCCATATCAAAGCTCATCCTTGGCATAAGGTTATTGTGTTCCTTGTTACCCCTCCTTTTGTTTAAAAATAATAACAGTTTTCTGAGAACTTAGTTTTTTGGAGGGACATGCATTGACGCATTTGGTTGAACGATCCATGGTTCAGGTTTTTCACAAGCGAATGCCTCCTGAAGCAATTGACCTTGCATCAAGGCTTCTCCAATATTCACCAAAACTACGTTACAGCGCAGTAAGTGGGGCAAACACTAATACCGCCTCCATTACCATGCTTTCAAGGCACATATAGCACAGAATCATATTAGTAGATTAAAAGTTAACACTGAGCCGTGATATGAAAACTACTTACTTTGATATAGAAGTTCCCTTATTTCTTTTTGCTGTGAGATTAGATGTACATGCCTTGGTATGTCATTATTTGGTATGATTGCAGTCAAGTTTCTATGATTTTAGTATTTTTTTTAACGACGATTCATTATACTCATTATTCATACACTATTAGAAAACATTTATAAAATTAACATAGTTTTCACTGGTGGCTTCCATTTTAAAGGTGGAAGCATTGGCACATCCTTTCTTTGACGAGCTTCGAGAGCCCAATGCCCGGCTTCCTAATGGTCGTCCACTGCCTCCACTTTTTAACTTCAAACAGGAAGTATGTATCTAATTGGTTTCTTGTATTAGATCTGATGCGCAAGGATTTTGCACTGTTTCTTGTTCAACACGGGCTATTACAAAAGCATCATGTCTTTTGCATGGTCTCCACCTGCTACATTCATACATGTAATAATTTTGTAATGAAAACTTTGAGTGCAGTTAGATGGAGCGCCCCCTGAACTGCTTCCTAAGCTCATCCCGGAGCACGCAAGGCGGCAACTCGGTTTCGGCTTGGTGTTCTCCACGGAGACCCAAACGCAAATGTAAAGAGATAGTGAAACATAGAGTCAACCGTTGTAGTGATTAGTGTGAAATATGCAGAGTTTTACTCCCCTTGTGAAGATATATACATGTACTGGATGCTCAGTGTAACCCCGAAATGTTTATCATGTTCAATGTCTAATTTTTCATTTCTACATTTTCTTTTGTTCCTACAACCATTCTAGTAATTTGGCTTGCTTTTTAGATTATCATATTTGATCTCCACTCTAATCATGTTTATGAAGACCTCTTTGCGCAACTAAATACTCAAAAACAAAAAAGATTGAACATTATAAATACAGGCAAAAGAATCACAAGATTTTGAACGTGGTAAAAAGATCCCTAAAGGCTTAGACGTTTTTGTCCACTGAATGAGAGTTGCGATTTTATGATTTTCACGGTGGCCGTTGATCCAATTAATTTTTAATTCAAATTCAATAATTAATTTATTTGAATATTTTATATCTAATTTAAATTTAGTTTAAATTAACTTAAATTAAACTCATATCAATTTAATTTGGATAGCATTGGAATTAAAATTCAGGCTATCACACCTAAACTGGTATTCTATCTAAAAATATTCAAATAAAAATTATTTTAGCTAAAATTTTCTTTTTATTTAATATTAATTTTATATGTGGAATATAATGAAAATCTAGGTATAGAGTTAATTTTTTTATCTAAAATACACGTAAGATAATATATTTATAATTAAGAATCATACAAGTAAATATGTTAAATATATATATATATATATATATATATATATATATATTTGTGACTAATAATATCTATAATAGCGCTCCTCCCTAAAGTTTATGTATATAAATTATATATATCTTATCATAAATATAATCAATTCTAGGTCCCCGTAAATATTTGGTGAAAATATTTGTTAACTGTTCACTTGAGTTAACAAATACGGTCTTAATGTTTCTAGATATAATTTTTTCTCGAATAAAATGACAGTCAACTTCAATGTATTTGGTCCTTTGATAAAGACACGATTAAAACTGATATGAAGATAATTACATATGAGTGATATCTCCAAGTTGCAATTCTTTTAAGTAATTGTTTAAGCTAAATAAGTTCACAAGTGGTTGAGACTATAACTTTATATTTCACTTCTGCACTAGATCTTACTACAACACTTTGTTTCTTACTCTTTCAAGAGATCAAGTTACATCCAATAGAAACACAGTATCCAAAAGTATATTTATTATCAGAAGGAGATTCTGCTCAGTCAACATTTGAATAACAAACAATTTTAGCCTGATTGTTGTGATCATATAACAAACATTTTCCAGAAGATCCTTTAATGTACTTTAATATAAGAATGATTGCATTCCAATGATCTGTACATGAGAAATTAAGAAATTGACTTACCACACTAACTGCAAAGGAATTATCAGGACGAGTAACAGTAAGATCGTTTAATTTTCCAACTAATCTTCTGTACTTCTCACGATCTGAGAAAGACTCTCCCTGATTAGGTAGGAGTTTGGAGTTAGGATCCAAGGGTGTATCAATAGATTTTGAGTTCATCAACCCAGTTTTTTCTAAAATATCCAATGTATATTTTTTTTAAGATATAATAATACCATTATTAGATTGTACTACCTCAATCCCTAAGAAATATCTAAGTTTGTCAAGATCTTTAGTTTGAAAGTGGTGATAAAGGTGTTGTTTCATCTAGGAGATGTCATGGTGATCACTCCCTGAAAGAACAATATTATCAACATATACTATTAAATAGATACACCCAACACTTGAGTGACAGTAAAATACTAAATGATCTGCCTCACTTCGAGTCATACCAAATTGCTGAACAACACTGCTAAATTTTCCAAACCAGGCCCTAAGAGATTGTTTTATGCCATATAAATATCTGTGAAGACTACATACCAATTTAGAAGACTCTCCCTGAGCAACAAAGTCTGGAAGTTGTTCCATATAAATTTCTTCCTGCAAATATCTGTTAAGAAAAATATTTTTGACATCCAATTGATAAAAAGACCATTGGTGAAGAGTATACATGACTATGAATAAGCGAACATCAGTCATTTTTGTCACTAGAGAAAAGGTATCACCATAGTCCAAACCAAAAATTTATGTGTAACCTTTGGTCACAACACAAGCTTTGAGATGATCAATAATATTATCAGGACCAACTTTGATAGCAAATATCCACCTACAACTAACAACAGATTTTTCAGATGATAACGAGACGAATTCCCAAGTTTTACTATTGGAAAGAACACTCATTTCATCAAGCATGCCTTGACGCCAACCAAGATGGGTTAAGAGAACGAATTTGGGAATTGACATAGAAAAAATAAACGAAAGACAGTTATAAAAAGGTGAAGGAAAGAACACTTATTTCATCAAGTATGCCTTGATGCCAACCAGGATGGGTTAAGACAACGAATTTGGGAATTGATATAGAAAAAATAGATGAAAGACAAGTATAAAAAGGTGGAGATAATGTATGATAACTCAAAATAGTATAATAATGAAAGGGATTATGAGTAGAACATATACCTTTACGGGATCAATTGAAATGTCAAATTCAGTTGTCGGAGTCGGAGGAGATAAACCAGTCAGCACTATATGTGAGTGAGTTGGGAGTTGATGAATGTTGTCTCGAGTTTATAAACCTTGTCTCAGTTAAGTCCAATGAAGTCTGTAACAAAGAGGAAAGAAGGACGATTGCACCGGAGCACGTGTTGACGGCTTTAGGAGTTCTCGGATTTGGCGACTACATTAAGGAAGTTTATGTTGTAAATTAAGGGGTATTGCAAAACAGAGAACGTGTTCTCACACGTTGCAGAAGACCATTTTAGAGAACGTGTTCTCACACGTTACAGAAGACTGTTTCAGAGAACGTGTTCTCTCACACGTTGCAGAAGACTGTTTCAGAGAAGGTTGTAGAAGACCGTTTAAGAGAACGTGTTCTCACACATTGCAGAAGACTGTTTCAGAGAACGTTGCAGAATACTGTTTCAGAGAACGTTAAAGACCCTTTACCAAGTCTTCCCATAACTGCTATAGACTTTCTCCTATAAATAGAGACCACTTCACACTCTTCAAAACACATCTTTCTCATCTTCTCTTCTCTGATCTTCTTTCTGTTATCCTGGGTTAATTTACTCTTTTGAGAGTTTCTTGCTAGTTTTTGAGATCCTCGAATATTCTGAGAAGTTCCTGTTGTATCTTGGGGGACTTGTGTAATACATCGCGGATAAGTCCTTAATGACAGTGATTATATACGCCTCAGGAATAAAGTTTGTTTATGTCTTTGTCAGCTTTTACAACAATCTTAAGGACTTATGACTGACAGTATGGATACCAACAACAACTCCATACCAGAAAAGACAAACAACATTTCTGGAACTCAAACGTCTTTACGAAACCATTCCTGGACGTTTCAAAAATTGAAGGTTTCACTGGGCAAAACTTTCGTCGCTAGCAAGAATGTATATCTACTCTCTTAGACATGTATGGAGTGACTTATGCTCTTACAACTACCAAACCTGACTCCAGTGCTCTTGCTAAACAAATTGAAGATTGAGTTAATTCGAACAAGGTATGTCTACACACCTTGCATAGTGCATTGTCTAATGATTTGTTCGATGTGTATTGTTCCTGTGGGAAATCAAATAGTATTTTAGGAAAGAATAAATCAGGAAATTTGTATATTTCCTTGTAATCTGTACAAATTTGAATAATTAGGAACAATCCCATAAATCAAGGGATCCTAGCATAAAATAGAGTTATTATATTTCCTAAAATAGCTTAGGTCTCCTGTATATATCTTATATCATCTCTTTGTATTGATATAAAAAAATCGTATTTCAGTTAATCTAATTTTCCAAAGTTCCTATAAGGAAGCCAAATATATTTGGGATTCATTGATTTTCAAATACACTGTCAAAGATGTCGTGAGACAAAGGTTTGTTATTGGAAACTACTACTGTTGGGAGATGCTAGAAGACAAGGATATCAATATCCAGACCAACGAGTACCACAAACTACTTGAAGATATTAAAGCCGAAAATATAGTCCTACCTGATGAGTTCATTTCGGAACTTCTAATCGAAAAGCTTCCAGAATCCTGGACAAACTACAAATAACAACTAAAGCATAGGCATAAACAGATGTCGCTAGCAGATCTGATCATGCACATCATCATCGAAGATACCAACAGAAAGGAGTGTGCTGCTGCAAGGGCTAAGACATTATCAGCTAAGGCAAATATGATAGAAGACAAACCAACTCCAAAAAGGTACGAGAAAAAACCTGATTATAAGAAGAAAATTAATTTTAAAAATTCTTGTCCCAATGGATCTAATCCCACCTTCAAGAAGAAGGAAAGTTGCTTTGTCTGTGGAAAGCCAGGTCATCATGCACCTCAGTGCAGACGTAGAATGAGAAACGACAATCCTCCTAAGACAAATTTAGACGATGGAGAAGATACAATTATTGAGGTCGTTTCTCAAATAAACATTGTAACAAATGTGAGTAAATGGGTGGTAGACTCTGGTGCTACCAGACACATCTATACAAACAAAAGTACTTTTACCTCCTATACTAGTGTGGGGATGGAGAAGAACATGTTTATCTCGGTGATTCCAAGACAACTCCTGTCTTAGGAAAACGAAAAGTTCTTCTAAAGCTCACATCTGGAAAGACTCTGGCCTTGAATGATGTGCTACTTGTGTCATTAGTCAGAGCTAATCTAATCTCTGTAGCACTATTGGGAAAAGTTGGGGTTAAAGTGTCATTCAAATTTGATAAGATTGTTATGACAAAAAATAATGTGTTTGTAGGGAATGGATATTGTGATCAAGGTCTTTTTGTACTTAATATCTCTGAGGTTTAATGAATCTTGTTCTTCTACTTATATTATTGATTTATATGATCTGTGGCATGCTAGACTAAGACACGTGAATTCTTCGTATGTTATGAAATTGCAATGATTGAGATTAGTTAATATTCATGATAAA